TGGCAACTCTTACAAGGGAAGAACAATTAATTGGAGTGGCTTACAGTTTCAGAGGTTTAGTCCATTATCATCATGCTGTAGGAGTTGAGAGTCCTACATGTTGACTGCGGGCAACAAGAAGTAGTCTATCTCACTGGGTGGTATCTTGAGCATAAGAGACCTCAAAGCCCACCTCTACAGTGACATACTTCCTCCAACAAGACCACACCTACTAATAGTGCCACTCCCTTTGGGGGCCATTTTCTTTCAAACCACCACAGGGCACAAAAAGGAAAATAAGTCCCTACTGCAGATGATATAAACCTATGAAAGACTTATAGTCTTAGAAACCTCTTAGATTTAATAGCTGCTTCTAGAAAGCAGCAGGATACAAAATCAATATACAAAACTCAGGTGCTTTCCTTTTCACCAATAACAAACTTGCTGAGAAAAACAACAACTAACAAAAAACAAAAAAATGAAAGAGAAAGAAAAATAAAAACCCAAAGCAAATGAACAACAAAACAAAACTCCCAGTGATAACTCTAACCAAGAAGGTGAAAACTGCCACAACTAAAATTCAGAACACTGAAGAGAGTCACTAAAGACAACCCTAGAAATTGGAAGGACCTTTGGATTAGTTAATTGTCTTGTCACTGTAGTAACTACCTGACAGAGGCAGTCTAAGGAAGATTTGCTGCTTGGGTAACTATTTGAGGACATGATCCATGTTGGCAGTTTGAAGCAGCTGGGCTCATGGCATTTGCAGAGAGAGATGATTGATGGGTGTCAGCCCTCTTTTTACTTTTATTTGGGCCAGAACTCCAGCCTGTGGAAAGACCCACAGTTAAGACTGGTCTTCCCAACCTACGTCCATCCAGTTTGTATAATCGCTCACAGGCATGCCCTAAGTCTTGTCTCTTATTGAGTCTAGAACCTGGCAAACGGTTATCACCAACTATCTCAACCTCCCATGTTCATGGTTTGGCAAAATTAATGCCATAAATATTATTACAAAATCAGTTACAAATCTACTCAATCCTCATCTGAATTGGAGGAAAGGTCTTTAAAATAATATAAAGAAAAAAAAAGGATCCCAGATAGTGGAGGGAGGGGCTGGAGACATCACTATCTCTTATCTCAAACTATACTACAGAGTTGTAGTAACAAAAACAGCATGGTTCTGGAACAAAACATAAATAGGGGTAAATGGACCAATGGATTAGCATATATAAACTCTCAACCATGAACCTAATTTTTGACAAAGATGGCAAAAACGTACATTGGCAAGAGGATAGCCTCTAATAAATGGTGCTGGAATCCACATGTAAAAGAATGATACTAAAGCCATCATTCTCACCTTGTACAAAAATCAATGCAAAATAGATCAAAGGTCTTAATGTAAAACCTAAAACTGTGTTTCATGATTTTGAAGATGTGGGCATGCACAAGGACCTTCTGCAAAAGATTCTAGCATCTCAGGAAACTATTCCAGGAATTGGCAGATGGGGTATGTGTAGTACAAAAGCTTTTGTACAGTGATGGGGAGAACTGCAGAGTGGAGAGACAGCCACAGAATGGGGGGACAGCAGAGTGGAGAGACAGCCACAGAATGCAGGGAAGTCCCCGCTAACTCTACATCCGGCAGGATTAATATCTGGACTCTGAAGAACTCTAAGACTTACCACCAGGAAAAGGAGCCGTCCAATCAACAAATGGACAAACTAACTGAACAGGTAGTTCTCAAAAGAAATATGAATGACCAACCAATGGATACACAAAAAACACATTACATTCAACATCCCTAGCCATCAGGCAGATGCAAATTAAATCTACAATCAGAATGAGACAAAAAACAAAGCGGATGAGGAAGGAGGAACTCATATATACACTGCTGGTGACAATACCAACTGGAGGGCCACTGTGAAATCAGTGTGGAAGTTCCTCAAAAACTAAATAGATGCTGGGAGTGGTAGCACATACTTTTAATCCTAGGACATGGGAAGCAGAGGCAGGAAGATCGCTGTGAGTTTGAGGCCAGCCTGGTCTACAGAGCGAGTGCCAATCTGGACCACACACACACACACACACACACACACACACACACACACACACACACACACACGCATGCGCGCACATACACATGCACATGCACTCACATGTGCACACACACATACACACTGAGAATAGACTTGTCAGATGGCTCAGCAGGTAAAAGTACTTGCTGCATAAGCCTGAGTACCAAACCCCTAGAACTCGCATAAAAATGGAAGGGGAAAATCAGCTCCACAGAGTTGTCCTCTGAAAACACGTCCCCACACACATCTAGATGTAGCAGCCTTCAACCCTTCCTAACGTTTTGTACTTGGGCTAGTGAGGTGGCTCAGAAGGTTCAGGCACCTGCTGCCAAGCCTAACAGCTTGAGTCTGAACCCTAAGACTCACATGGTGGAAGGAGAGAACCAACTCCCAAAAGTCACCCTCTGACCTCTCTTCCTGAATTGTGGCATGTGTGCACCCAGGCACATGCACTCGAAGTAAAATACCTTTACAAACTAGAAATAGAACTACCATATAATCAGGCTATACTGTCCCTGATCACATATGTACTCGAAGGAAGCACACCACGGAGATACTTGCAGATCCATGCTTTTACTGCATTCTTCACCACAGCCAAGAGACAAGCAACAGACGAATAGATAGAGAATAACACAGCACACAGACACAATGGAGATTTTATTCCGACATAAAGAAGACCAACCGCTCGCATCATGTTAAGTAAAATAAGCCAGACTCAAGACAGGAGTTCCATGTTTTCTCATGTGTGGAATCTGGGCTTAAATACGAGTATATATACATGCACACATCAAGGACACAAAAGTAGAAGTCTGTAAAAGGGGGAAAGTGATTTAAAAGGAAGGGAGGGGAGATAAGAGAAGGCAATGGGGGGGAGAACTAAACTTAAGTATGTGTGGCATGAAAGCAGAAAGGAGGTTGTGGGGAGGGAAACAAGGAGAGCAGGGGGAGAGGGAGATGGGAGTGTAGTTGGGGGAGAATATTATCCAAGTTCATTGATGTGATATATGAGAATATTGTCCCATAATTTTTGCATGCTAAATAGAAAAAAATCATTTTAAAGATAGTCAAGGAGCCGGGCGTTGGTGGCACACGCCTTTAATCCCAGCACTCGGGAGGCAGAGGCAGGCAGATCTCTGTGAGTTCGAGACCAGCCTGGACTACCAAGTGAGTTCCAGGACAGCCTCCAAAGCCACAGAGAAACCCTGTCTCGAAAAACCAAAAAAAAAAAAAAAAAAAGATAGTCAAGGAAAGAACAGGAGGGGAACAGAGACAGGCAAAGCGGGGAGGCTGCTTGCTAGGTGATGTGTCTGTGCCCTTTCAAACACAGCAGGTGAGAAAACTAGGTTCTGTATTGCAGGAGGCCACAGGGGATGGGGGAGCTGAGGACTGCATTGGATCGCAGAGGGCTTGCAACCTCTAAAACTGAATCTGTCGGTATCCCCAGGGACTCATTACCCCACCATGAGCGGCGATGTAGCCACAGCCCTCTGGCCAGTCTTCTGTCCTTATAGACTTTCGGGGAAGCAGGCAGTGAGGGTGCACTTGGTAGCACTGTGCTGGAGATGCGACCCAGGGCTGGCAGCTGAGCCTCGGCCCTGAGGTGATCTCTCAGTCTCTGCAGGAAGTGCCTGAGGAAGTGACTGGCAGGAAAACTGTGTTCATGAAATTGGCCAGGCTAGGTGGTGAGGTGGGTGGCGCCACTTCCCGGGTGACTTTTTGCTGAGTAGGTCCCAGGATAGATGAATAGGACACTGACCATGCCTTCATTTACCTTCTGCTGAGTCCCCAGATTCTCTATCTGAGTGGCGCCATAGGGCCAGACTCCGGTTTTCCCTGCAGGTCTAAGCAATCCCACAGCCTCATCAAGCCAAAGCATTTGCTTCCAAGTTCAGATACTTCCAGTGGTTACAAATGAGAAAAGTGGCTGTTCTTTACATTTCTGGAAAGTTTGTTTTATAGCCCCATCTCATTCCCTCCCCTTACTTCTTCCTTCTCATGGAGAAGATAGGAATGGTGCTTCCCCAGAATATATGGATTGCTTCATTTGTCCCAAGTACCAGAGTGACATATGGGCAGGGCCTATGGCTCCCCAAAGCCAGCAATACCAGGAGAACTATCAGTAAGAATGGCCTCTCTATGTAGGCCATTTTTCTTAGGAAGACCTTTTTATAAGCATGGAGACTCAGTTGGCCTGAAGCCCTGTCTGGTGGGCAGTGAGATAGGTTCTTCCCTGAGGATGGGAAGATGGTGGGTTTGGGCTACTTGGACGTTGCTGAATTCTTGTCAGTGTACATTGGATTAAAATCACAATGAATGAGTATCTGGCACAGTGACTTACTCGTGTCTGTAATCCCAAGGATTGGGAGGCTGAGGCAAGAGGATTGCCATGAGTTTAAGGCTAGTCTTGGCTTCATGATAAGTTCAAGACCAGCAAGAGCTACATGGCAAGACCCTGTCTCAGAAAATTAACTAACTAATTAAATTGAGTGAAAACAGTAGCAGTATTTCTGGGCCTTCCACTATTCCCTTTATACCTGTATGGAAAAGTCTCAGTATATTGTCATAAGACTCCATAAGTGATGGACCAGGATCTGAAGCAGTGTGAACAATGCTGACCCAGTATGTACTTAGATTCCTATTTTCAAAGTTAGGCTTTTTCCATAGCTCACATCTTCAACTACAGCTGCCCAGCTATTGCTTGGATAAAGCAAAGATTCAGATTCCTGCCAGATGATGGATTGAGAAACAAACTCCCAGAGCCCCAGGTCACATGGTTCGGCAATGCTGAATCTGGAAGCTGGGTCTACCTGGGTACACCCAGCTGCCTCTTCCACAGAAGGCTTAGCGTATTTGGGACCCTGTCCAAGAGCCCTGCATGCTCCTCACTCGGTCTGGTTCCATTTCTTATGGGAAACCTCCTTTTTTTTTTTTTTTTACCTGTAGCGGCACCACCCAACCCCAACCGTGAGGTGGCTGGAGACACTATCATCTTCCGGGACACTCAGATCAGCAGCAGGGCAGTGTACCAGTGCAACACATCCAATGAGCATGGCTACCTGCTGGCCAATGCCTTCGTCAGTGTGTTGGGTGAGCGTACCCTCATAGTAGTCTCTGTCCACTAGCAGTGGGGTCTTCCTGGGATAGAGTGATGCCTTAGGTACATTTTCTTCTCTGGAGCCCGGGCATGCTGGGCAGGCTTGGAGAGCTGTGGGGCCTGGATGTGGGGTTTGTGGGGAGAGTGAAAGACTTGCACTCCACCAAATCAGATGATCACAGGGCTCACTCCTTCAGAGAAGCTGGGTAGGAAGGGCTTCCGAGCATGGCTGCTGCACTCCCTGAGCAAGAAGAGGGCAGTGGGAATTGGTAGATGCAAGATGCCTCAGGGTTGTGGAGAATCAACTCCAAAATCTGTGGGATAATTTGGGGAAATCCTTTGCAAAAGCTAGTTTGCTTGTGGGACAGAAGGTGGACAGGCAGAGGGGTGAATATACTCCCTCATCACCTAAACCTTACAGCAAGGATGCCCTGTCCTTTGATGTTGTAACATGATTGTGGTCTGCAAGTGTGCTGGGCAGCATTTGTCCTGAGACACCTGAGCCCCAGGGGCTGTAGGTTGGGCAGTTTCCCTTAGATGAGGCTTGTAAAAGAAAGGAATGGATAAGGATACCTAGGTGTCTGGAAAGCTGCTGTAAGGGGAAAGCATACTGTGGTGACACCAGGGAGGAAGGGGAAGGGTTGTGCTCCACGCCCATGTCGGCAAATTGGCCCTCTGGGTTTCAGATGTGCCCCCTCGGATGCTGTCTCCCCGGAACCAGCTCATCAGGGTGATCCTTTACAATCGGACGCGGCTGGACTGTCCATTCTTCGGCTCTCCCATTCCAACACTCCGATGGTAAGTCCCAGGAGGCCAGGTCTCCCCAGAAGGAGTCATTTGTCTTTTTGCTGCCATCTGCCCTCTAGGGATCCTTAAACAGTCAAAGATGGCCATCTGGGTGAACCCCCGCATTGTTCAGAGAGGGGCAGCTAGTGGCGATAGGCAGGGCCTGCCAGACTCAGGACTCCATGTGTCTACCTCAAGCCTCCCAACCCCCTACCCAGCCATGGACTCTGCTGCTTTCTAGCTCCCTTGGGCCAGCCCTTTCTCAGTGTGCTGTCTTCCCTACTCTGTGGTGAGGTTTAAGAATGGACAAGGAAGCAACCTGGATGGTGGTAACTACCACGTCTACGAAAACGGCAGCCTGGAAATCAAGATGATCCGCAAAGAGGACCAAGGCATCTACACATGTGTGGCCACCAACATCCTGGGCAAAGCTGAAAACCAAGTCCGCCTAGAGGTCAAAGGTAAGCAAGGGGTTCACCGGCGAGAGTTCAGGTTGGGCAGGAAAGCTATGCTCACAGGTATCCATAGGTGCAGGGGGAAATGCCCCTGCCTGGGATCTGGTGGGCACCAGCGTGTCCTCTCCGTGACTCCAGCTGACCTAAGTACGGGAACACTGAGGCAGTTTAGCAACCTGATCCAGAGCCTCCCTGTTTCCCCTCACCACCACTCGTATCGCGGATTTCTGAGCCAGAGAACTATTTGGGGATTTTGATGACCTCACACGTGGAAACTCCTCACCATTCTTACAGATAGTCACGCTCTGTGTTTGATACTCAAGGCCAGGCATGTCACCCTAGGTGGCCACACTGGGGCTGGTGGGCAGAAGGGGGGTCCACGCCAGCCTTCCGATCGTCCTCACAGACCCCACCAGGATCTACAGGATGCCTGAGGACCAGGTGGTGAAGAGAGGAACCACAGTGCAGCTGGAGTGTCGCGTGAAGCATGACCCCTCCTTGAAGCTCACCGTCTCCTGGCTGAAGGACGATGAGCCCCTGTACATTGGAAACAGGTTTCTGCTCTCCATCTCAGTCCCTGGCGCACACTCAGGGGGAAGTTTGCTCTTGCTTTCAGTGTCACGCGTGTCACTAGGGGGCTGCTAGGAGGGGCGATGGCCTTAACGACCCTTTCCCCAGGGGCAACCCCAGGAGCCACTCTTCCTCTCTCTTACCCACCTGTTGCTCTCTCCTTCTCCTCTTCTCTCCCATCTTCTTGTTTCCTCACCCCTTCTCTCACTTTTCTTCCTCCCGTCATTTATATCTCATTTTCTTTTTTTCCCTTCATCTCTCTTCTGCGTTCCACACTCCAAGCCTTCCAACTCTGCTTGTAGTGCCCCTGCTCGCCAGTAGAGGGCAGGTCTGGCCCCAGCTACCACATCCAGTGCAATGCCTGATGATTCTCGGCTCCTGGATCTTCTGGGTGCTTTGACCGCGCCCCATCTACACCTCCCACACCAATTCAGACTTTACTTGTGTAAGGGTGGGATTCCGGTGCCGATGGTATTGAAAGGTACCCTGGGTTCTTTTTAATGTGCAGTTAGGATTGAGGACCCCTACCTCCCTTCCTGGGGCTCTCTTTGCTGTCTCTCTTCTAGGCAGTAAGGCATCATTCATTCCCAGTCTCACCCAGCTTCATGCAGGGATGCACCCTGCCTGTGTGTACTGTCAGTACTAATGGGCTAGTACGGACAGTTCCACTGCAGTCTTGTATTGCTCTGGGATGCCCCTCCCTCTGGTGGAAACAGATCAGAGGAGCCCAGGGACAGAGCACCAAAACACATGTAGGGAAAGAGAAGCAACACCAGCCTGTCTTCGGTGTGTCGGGGTAGTGGTACCCTAATTTGGGGAGTGTGTGCAACGCAAGAAAGGCTGGGAGATGGATGCAGTGTGGATGCTGAGGGGCGTCCCACCCACTCTCTCCTCTGCCTCCAACCACAGTGTTGAGATGGCACCTCACACCCCTGGCCCTGCCACCTCCTTAATCTTCCTTTTCACTGTCCCTTTGTGGGAAGAAAGTGGCAGCCATGCCCAGTGTAGGAGCCACCCCCTGCCAACCTCAGTCTGGCGCCTTGCAGGATGAAGAAGGAAGATGACTCCCTGACCATCTTTGGCGTGGCAGAGCGGGACCAAGGCAGTTACACGTGCATGGCCAGCACCGAGCTGGACCAAGACCTGGCCAAGGCCTCCCTCACTGTTCTAGGTAATGGCTGCCACCCACTGACAGCCCTTCCCCCTGCTTCCCCGCAGCCAGGGTAGCTGTGAGCGTTGGTTGGTCCCCAGGGCAGTGCCTAGTAAACGGCAGGCAGGTGTGATGACCTCTTCAGGTCTCTGGATTAGGAGGCTGTCACTCTCAAACCAGCTGAGGACATTTTGGAGTTCTGTCTCCTGAGTGAGGTCCGTGACCTTCCGACCCCAGCTGAGAGGTGTGAAATGACAGAAAGTGGACTGACTTCTGTCTCTTCTGCTCTTATCGCTACCTCCACACCACCATGTTGACTAAAGCTACCCTGAAGCAATGCTAGACCAAGATGAGTGTGTGTGTGTGTTTTGTATATGTGGTGTGGGGTGTGGGGGTGTATGTGTTTGGTGTGTATGTGTATTTGATGTGTAAATGTGTCTGTGTGTATGTGTGTCTGACATGTGTAATGTGTGTGGTGTGTGTATGTGTTTGGTGTGTATACGGTATGTGTGTGTGTGTGTGTGTGTGTCTGGCATGTTTAACATGTGTGGTATATGTGTGGTATGGTATGTGTGTGTGGTGTGTGTATGTGTTTAGTGTGTGTGTGTGTGTGTGTGTTTAGTGTGTTGTGTGTGTGTGTGTCTGGCATGTGTAATGTGTGTGGTATATGTGTGGTATGGTATGTGTGTGGTGTGTGTGTGTGTTTAGTGTGTGTATGTTGTGTGTGTGTGTGTGTCTGTGTGTGTCTGTGTGTCTGTGTGTGTGTGTGTGTCTGGCATGTGTAACGTGTGTGGTATATGTGTGGTAGGGTATGTGTGTGGTGTGTGTGTGTTTAGTGTGTGTGTGTGTGTGTGTGCACACTTCCAACACTTCCTCTAGCTTTCTCCCCCCATGCTGCTCCTGGGTTTTAGTGGCTTTTCTCACTGGGCCACACACTGGACAAAATGACGCCATCCCTTCTTGTCCATGTGTCCATGCTGTGCTGCAAATAACAACCCATCCTAAGCAGAAGGGAAGGAGGCTACCCCTTCCCAGTGAAGCAGATCCTCTGCTGTCACACGTGTCCTGTTCCCCCTCTGAACTCCTGCTGTGGAGGTCACACTCGCTGGCCACGATGGGCCCAGATATGTTAATATATCTGGACAGGAAGAAATCAGCGACCCCACTCCAGCTCATGGTCAGCTGGGAGGTAGGACTGTCCGTGGAAGGGAGAGGACAGATGCAAAAGCCTCACTTACTGATTGCCATCCTTCTAGAACCTTTAACCCTGATAACCTGCTAACCTGGATAACCCATCTTACTGTTGCAGCTGATCAGGCCACTCCAACTAACCGCTTGGCTGCCCTGCCCAAAGGTAATTTGCACTAATCGGGGGCTCTCGTGCCCAGGGGTGGAATCTTGAGGAGGAATGTGTCTCATGAGAAGACTACATATTGCAAGCTGGTAGACAATACTCCATCTGCCCCACATGTGACCCCTGGCCCTCAGGCACCCACAGCCACCTGCCTCCCTGGACTATATCACAACCCTGCCCTGGATTCACCCCACTTAGCCCTCCCTTGAGGCTCCTGCTGTCTGCCCCTAGCTATACCTCAGAAGTGCCTAATGGCCAGTCAGGAAGGCTGCTTCCTAAGGTTATACCTCAGAAGTGCCTAATGGCCAGTCAGGAAGGCTGCTTCCTAAGATTATCCCCTACAGGCTCATCAGTTTATAGACTGCCACACATCTATTGCTATGCATCTTCCCTCCTCCAAGTCACACACACAAATACACACACACACAACACACACACATGACGCATGCACTGTCTAGGTCCTCCCGGTACCAGTCAGATAATGGAAATGCTGGTTCAGAGGGTTAGATGTGGGGGAAATTTGTCTACCTACATTCTATGGCTGGATGACTCTCTTCCAAAGCCAGGAAAATAGAAACCACCCCACCCCCTAAAAAGGTGTTTCTCTTACTCCTGTGTGGATGCCTCTGGCCCCCGTTGTTCTACTCCCTCACTTAATCCATGCTAAGTCTCCCCCTGATGGACTGTCTTTGAACCACCCACTTCCTCATCTGTCTGCCCTGCTCAGCACTGCAGAGCTCTCCTGGGCTCTGGTCCTCAGAGTCCCGGCAGCCAGAGAAACAGGCAGTGATCCTGAGAAATGAGATGAAGTCCCGTACCTCCCTGAAGTCTCTCTAATGGAAGCAGCAGCCTTTCCCCAAAGTGCATGTTCTAAAAGAGCCAAAGAAACAGGATGACTTGACCCCTGTTCCCTCTGCCCTGCCTTGTTCCACAGTCTTTGGTTCTTCCTTGTCTCCTGGAGGGAAGAGGGTGGTCCCTGCACTGGCCCTCCAGGGTAGGTTGGGGTTTGATCTGCTGGCAGTATAGACCCGAGCCCCTCAGAGGCCTGTCCAGCTCTAGTACTACCTATCCGAAGGAGAGGGACCGTCTCTCACTCAGGAGCTCAGAGTGACATCTTTTTCCTCTGCTGCCAGGACGGCCAGACCGACCCAGGGACCTGGAACTCACTGACCTGGCTGAGAGGAGTGTGAGGCTGACCTGGATCCCAGGGGATGATAACAACAGCCCCATCACAGGTCAGCCCAGGGCCCTGTGCTCCAGAGCCAGAGAGAGCTGGTAACATAGCAGCCTTGGAATAGCCCTGCCTCCCCCCCAGCGTCTGCTCGCACCCCTGCCCCATGACACACTCGTGGAGGCTTTGATTCCCTCCCGTATCTTGGGAAGACTTCCTCACCTGCCACTGTCTATCTTGGGGCGATGATAAAGATAAGCAGAGGCCAAGAAGGATGCGCTTCTAGAGCAGGACTCTGAGACTCCCAAAACAGCTCTGTCCTCCTTGTCCACTCAGACTACGTCATCCAGTTTGAAGAGGACCAGTTCCAACCCGGGGTCTGGCATGACCACTCCAAGTTCCCAGGCAGCGTCAACTCAGCCGTGCTCCATCTGTCCCCATATGTCAACTACCAGTTCCGAGTCATCGCTGTCAATGAGGTTGGGAGCAGCCACCCCAGCCTTCCGTCTGAGCGGTACAGAACCAGTGGCGCCCGTGAGTACTTGAGCCCCAGGTGCCCTGAGTTTACACTGACTCTCCCAGCTCCCGGCCGTGGGAGCTTCCGCAAGTTACTCGCCTGTCCAAGACCTGGCTTCCTCACCTTATTGTAACACATACCTCTCGGGGCTATGGTGAGGACTCCCACTTGAAACAGCTGGAGAGAGCTTAGGGGGTAGAAGCACCAGGTGCCAAGTCTGATGATGACCTGAGTTTGATCCCAGGTACCCAAATGGTGGGTGGAGATGACTGGCTCCTGAAAGTTGTCCTCTGGTCTTCACACATGCACTATGGCACATGTAAACCCACACATACACACCCTAAATAAATACATAAATAAATAAATGCAATGTTTAAAAATATTAAAGAAGAAAATTGTCTTAGGGGCCATTCAGCTAGTAAAATGTCTGCTTTGATTGCCTAAATCCAATCCCTGATCCCCACGTAAAAGGTGGGCATGGTGGCACTCATCTGTAAGCCCAGCACTAGGAGAATGGGGGCGGAGGATCTCGGGGACTTGCTGGTCAGCCATTGGAGCTGAATCACCAAGTTCCAGGTACAGTGAGAGACCCTGCCTAAAAACTAAGGTGATCGAGTGATCGAGATGACACCCAGTATTGACCCCTGGCCTCCACACATGTGCACACACAGATTCACATGAAAGAAAAAAGAAGAAACATGCCAGGCACTAATTGTGGTGACTGTCACGTAATAAGCACACAATAAATCTTAACTGTCATTTTAATAACTGTTAATGATTCTTTATTATCTGCTCAAAGGGGCAGAGCTGTGGCAGAGGCATAGATAAAAAACAGATCATCTGGTGTTATGTCAGATTTCTCTTCCTAACACACTAGGATAAGGTTTAAGTTTATGAGATCACACCAGCTCATGGAGGTAGACATGCTTGCCCCAAAACGTTAACTGCCAGGATAAACCAGTGTGTCACAAGCCGTTCTGTCGGATGATCTGTGAAGGGAACAGCACATGGAGTTAGCACAATGGCCACCAGAGATGTGGAAAGGTTTAAGTTAAGTGCTTTCTGGTAGAGGATTAAATCTAAAAGAAATTAGGTCTACTTTGGGGGCGGGGGTTGAATTTCAGCTAGGAAGATGTATCATGCATGGGAGAAAAAGAGTTGGGAGCTTGCCGGGCATTGGTGGCGCACACCTTTAATCCCAGCACTCGGGAGGCAGAGGCAGGCAGATCTCTGTGAGTTCGAGACCAGCCTGGTCTAGAGAGTGAGTTCCAGGACAGCCTCCAAAGCCACAGAGAAACTCTGTCTCGAAACCCCCCTCCCCCCCCAAAAAAAGAGTTGGGAGCTGTGAAGAGCCAGAGTACAGAAGGGGGCAGTTAGGTGGGAGGCAAAGATGCCCTGGCCGGGCTCGGGTTTGACTTCGGCTCTATCTGTTTGGGTTCCAGCCCCTGAGTCCAACCCCAGTGATGTGAAGGGAGAAGGGACAAGAAAGAACAACATGGAGATCACGTGGACGGTAGGAGCACCTCCCACCCACACTCACCTAGCAGCAGACACCCAGCAGCCCTCATCCCTTTCTCCCCGGGCCATAGTATGTTTCAGACTATCTAACTGAGAAGCCAAACAGGACCAGTGCCTAGGAGCAGGAGTTCAGAACAGACATGTAAGCAGAGATCATCCAATTCCAGTCTAGCAGAACTCATCAAGAAAGCCACCAAAACATGTGGTCTGATGCTGAAGGAGGGACTCGGGCTTTAGGAAAGAGAGACATGCAGAACACCAGTGCTGAGCCTGATGTGTGCTGGCTCTGGGCAGTGGGTTGCTGGAGGCACCGGAGCCATTACAAAGCCCAGGTCCTTTCTACAGCCTGGGCTAAATGACTTCCTTTGGGCTAGTCAGCTCCCCCTCTTCACCCGGGCACCCTGACTACACTTTCCAAATTAACACTGGGATGTTTAGAAACTGACTTTTTCCTAAACCACTCCTAAAAGCTGAAAATGTAGTCACTGAAGTGGTAACAGTCAGAGCTATGTGCTCTTCAGAGTCTCCATCAGCCCTGTCACTCTGAAGCCTGGTCGGCCAACATCCTTGACCAACAGCTTTGGACTGAACTCAAATTCTGGACAGTTGGTCTGTGGCTCTGTGTGGCCAGCTCTGGCAGCCTGCCTCCGGAGCCGGGTCCTTAGGGTAAATGGGTTCCACTCATGTGGATTTGGCAGAGTGAAGTCAGTTCTGGAATTTTGAGATCCTCAGTAGGAGAGTAGCTTGGTTAGATCGGGGTCCTCTCTCTGACTGGAGATCATGACTGCCAGTCTTTGGCTCCCAGCTCCTCGTTTCTTAAGAGGAATTTTGCCCTAAGTAAAGCATTTGTTCCCCGTGCACCTGCCGTGTGGGTGGTGCTTGCAGTCAAAGTGATTAAGTCTCTGGGGAACCTTTTGTTATAGAGAATCTGGGTGCTACGGAGTTTCTGGGATTTTAGGCTCTTTGGGGACTCAAAAGAGGCAGGGTACCGTCCCCTGTACTGAAGGAGCTGGCCGGTGGCAGACAAGCCTGGGTAGAGTATCTGGCACAGATGGAGAGGGCAAGCTTTGCCAACACTCTGTCCACCCTGTCTGCCTGTCTGTCTGTCTCTCCCTGTGCAGCCCATGAATGCCACCTCTGCCTTTGGTCCCAACCTGCGCTACATTGTCAAGTGGCGACGGAGGGAGACCCGAGAAACTTGGAACAATGTCACAGTGTGGGGCTCTCGCTACGTGGTGGGGCAGACCCCTGTCTACGTACCCTATGAGATCCGAGTCCAGGCTGAAAATGACTTTGGGAAGGGTCCCGAGCCTGACACCATCATTGGGTATTCAGGAGAAGATTGTGAGTATCGGTCCCCATCCCTTCCCCAACAGGGCCCTCGGTGCCAACTACACTGGCCACTCTCACAGGCTGAGAAACTCGGGATGTGTCGTGGGAGGACAGCCCGTTCCTGGGTGATAGGGTACCCTACTGTGGCCTAGTACTGTTACTACAGTGCTGTTACTAGTAGCAGTGGTAACATCCAGAAGAGAACTGTCTTTTGAACACATACCCACTTAGCCTGGTACAGATGTAAAAACTGAATCTAGAGACAGCCAGGACTGTACAACATCAAATGGTCCGGCTTGAAAATATAACCCAGGTCCTCAGGTCCCCAGGTCCCCAGACAGGTTGCTTTACTGCCAAGCCTTGCTGGCACCAAGAAAGAGATCTTGACTACTGTTTGAAAGAGCTATTTGGATATATCAAAGAAGCTGGGTACAGGCTAGATTCCCATGGCAGGGGAGCCATAGGCAATGAAGTCTACAGAGTCCTCCTGACCCACCATGTCCCAGCATTCCAGAACTGTTCCCAGCCCTTGGAACGGAACATGAAGTTGGATTTTCTTAAGAAGCTGAGTCTGGACAATCAACATTCTAGGCCTGTATGTGACAGTGTGGGCATGGCCTCTGTGCCTGGTCCATCAACATCAGTCCCACAGCTCCTGGGCAAAGCAGAGTATTGTAAAGTCAACCAGACTCAGCAACTGGGTCTGTGTCTGATCCAAGCAGAGATGGAGGGATTGGTGGGGTGAGCAGAAGGAAGGGACACAGGAAGCAAGACTGGGCTCCAAGTAAGGCCAGTGGTCCCAGGATGGTGAGGAGGGACACAGTGAGGACCCAGGACCAGTCATGGCTAGAGCCCACTGGAAATGAACAGAGGGGCCTATCCTAGTCCTGTCTCTATGGTGGAAGGTCTCCTGTAGGAGTCTAGTGGGGGCTGCCAGTCAGTGACTGGGGACTTCTGGATGACCCCATAGTTTCTACTGTATCTGTCCACACTGGGGACTGGGCTTTCTGGATGATCCCATAGTTTCTACTGTATCTGTCCACCCTGTGACCTGGGCTTTCTGGATGACCCCATAGTTTCTACTGTATCTGTCCACACTGGGGCCTGGGCTTTCTGGATGACCCCATAGTTTCTACTTTGAGTGTCAAAGGGGCAGGGGACGCGTACGTCACCACCGCTTTTGAGTATTACCCTAGGAGCTGTGGCTGCGGGCATTGGAGCATAGCACTGTCAACCTGCAGTCCTGCAGAGGAAGCCAGGGGAAGTAATATCCACGCCCCCTCTACTCTTACCCTGGCACCTCACGTTGGCGCCTCCTATTGGCCAAACTCCTCAAGAAGCCTGGGGAAAACGTATTGGGCTGACAAGCGAGCAGCCTCTTAGGCTACAGAGCAGTGGGACAGCTAGAGAATGACAGGAAGGTAGATGATCCCAGCACTTGAGTACCACAAATAATTACTCTATTCACCTGGATTGTCACCCTCTAGATCTGAGACCTCTCTGTTGTCTGGAGTACCCAGTATGCAGTAGAATGGAGGTATTAACTGTCAGAATACATCAGGCGCTACCTTTGAACCCAAGAGCCAACCTTGTCTGTATAACCAGCTCTCTGTCCCTACATATTGCAGATCCCAGAGCTGCACCCACTGAAGTTAAAATCCGAGTCATGAACAGCACGGCCATCAGCCTTCAGTGGAACCGGGTCTACTCTGACACGGTCCAAGGCCAGCTCAGAGAGTATCGAGTGAGGAGGCCAGCCCCCAGTCCCATCTAACCAACTTCTCGCTAACCAGGGCGCGGGGCAGCAGCTGCGTGTGTAGGGGATCTGGAAGGGGTCCTAGGAACACTCATGGGGTCTAAAGTTGATTCAAGATGATTTCTGGAATTCAAAATTACCCAGTGGGGAATGTATACTTGTATACATGTATTTATGTATATTATACATATATTCATGTTTCACCTAGCAACAGGGACATGTTCTGAGAAATGCATCATTAGGCAGTTTTGTCATTGTGCCAGCGTTGTGGTACATACTGAGACAAACCTAGTTGATATAAGCCAGTTCCTCAGCATGGCCACTTGCTGCAGTCAACACACACAGCAAGCTTAAGATGTGTGAGGCCGTTGCCAGTGAGACACTGGAAACTGTTTTACAGTAAGCTGCATTTTCTAAATAGGATAAAAAGTACAGAGTAGAGGGGAGGGGCTGGAGACATGGCTCACAAGTTGAGAGCACTGACTGCTCTTCCAGAGGTCTTGAGTTCCATTCCCAGCAACCACATGATGGCTCACAACCATCTCTAATGAGATCCGGTGCCTGCTTCTGGCCTGCAGGCATATATGCAGGCAGAACACTATACATAACAAATCAATCTTTAAAAGAAATAAGTATAAATCAGGGCCTGGGGCATAGCTCAGTGGTAGACTGCTTGCCTAACTTTCATGAACCTGGGTTCAATCCCCAGCACTTCAAAGGCAGACTGAGGACACTGAGTAATTACAAAGCATGGGTAGTATCATAGATGCATAAACCAGTAACCCGGTGATGCTCATCACCAAGCAGTCCAATTGTATTGCTATGACTTTGTGATTGGCAGCCCAGGAGACCTTTTTCACACAGCACCACCACACATAGAGTGTAATATGACATCATGATGGCTACGACACCATCCCTAGGTGAAATAGTCTTATGGGACCACTGTCCTATCATACACAATCTCTTGCTGGCAGAATATCACACAGCTCAAGACTATATGAACACTCATGGCCTATTGAAGGTCCAGCTCAGCTAGAACTCCTTAGGAGGGTGCTGGGTTTGAGCTGGTCCTGCGGAGCACATGAATTTGGTATACATGTATGAACAAACATGTGTACCATCGTGTGCCTCACTGAAGCACCTCTGAGCTACCCCCTTTCCCTCAGAGGCCCCCGCTGAGCTGTTTGCTTCCCCAGCCTGGTTCCAGAAAGCGACACTAACAGGGAAAGACATAAGCTGCCTCCCTGTTGCCTTCCATAGCCAACTCTGCTACTCAACACAGCTTCTGAAGGCCCTGGCCTCTTGTGCTTTCAGCCCGGGAGCCGTTTCTGCCAAGTCACGCATCCTCAGGGGTTGGGCGGAGGTTGAGGGAGAAATGGTAGCTACATTTCAGTTGGCTGGCAGTGAGCATGAGACAGCCATGGGTTACCACTGGGCTGTGACTCCTGAGGTCATCGCGAGTTGGCTGATAGACAGCTGGGGACAGACAGAGGGGGTCAGCCCCTTCTTGGGATGTGAACTTGGCAATGAACTAAAGAAAGGAAGGCCAAGTGTTCCTGATCTATATCTTCCCCAACAGTTAACTTTTTTAACCCTTAACCTGTTGGCCTGGAGATTTTTCTTACTGAAGTACTTATCAGTCGCCGGAAGTCTGGAATTCCTCACCACTCACTGGTGACACTGCTGTGACAAGTTGTCCTGTGGCCTCCCACCCACTGCTAATAAGACCTTCATTATATCCTTTACCTCTACCACCCTCCAAGACCATCCTTCCCATCCAAGCGCTGCTGCTGCACAGCCCTGAACCCCAACTTACTTGGACATGTGCCTGCCATCTCCAGAGATCTTCAACAATACATAAAGAAATCGCTTGGCTTCCGGGAATCACACCAACCATTGCTCATACTCCGATGTTTGGGACAACCTGCTCCTTGCATGGCCACCTGCTGCCTCCCTAAGCTCTACTAATCCAGCTGAAAGTGAGGTGGTCTTTGAGCACCAGGCGCAGCTTTCAGCGTCAGGACCCCTGATTCGCTTTTGTGGTTCTGGCATAGACTCTCTCCGTGCAACGTGTTGCCCAGCTTGGACACATTCTCCAAAGGGGTAGCATGGTGCCAAAAATGGGTGAAACCACACCCCTGTTTCATGTTCAGCATCATTCTATTAATGAGTGCCTAATGAGTAAGGACCATAAGGCTGTCCCTGCAGCCTGTATGGGGTGGATGAGGTCATTTGGAACCGGGAGATTGTAACAAAGGGAGGACCAGCCACTACCACCACTAACCACTAACCTGGCCTTGCCGCCTGGCCCCTCACCAGCCTGCCTCTGTCTCTAAGGCTTACTACTGGAGGGAAAGCAGTTTGTTGAAGAACCTGTGGGTGTCTCAGAAGAGACAGCAGGCCAGCTTCCCTGGTGACCGCCCGCGGGGTGTGGTGGCTCGCCTGTTCCCCTACAGTAACTACAAGCTGGAGATGGTTGTGGTCAATGGGAGAGGTGATGGACCTCGCAGCGAAACCAAGGAATTCACCACCCCGGAAGGAGGTAGGTCAGACCTGCAGCTCTTCAAGGTGGGGTAGGATGAGGGTGGTGCCACCGGTGAGCCTGGAGCAGCTCCAGCATGTCTTGGCACGGACAGCCTGGATGACCTCAACGAGCTGATGACCATCACCAAGGTAGCCCATCCTTACGGAAACTTGTGTCTCAAGAGATCTGCTCAGTATGCCACTGCATTCCAGTCTGAATAGGCTAACCCCAGCACCTCCTCTGAGGCGAAGGCTACACATGCATCTGGCCCCTTCGATGGCCTGAGTACCAGCACCCAAGACCTGCACAAGCCTCCCCTTGGCATCAGGAAGTTGGCCTGTGTGTACAGAGTACTGCCAAGTGTCACCCCACCCTCCTGCGGGTTTATGGTTGGATCTGACCCTGTGGTCCAGACATCTACAAAGTTCTGTTCTCACCTTGGTTCCCCACAGGCTTTTATCCGCTTGGCATGAACTTTGCCTTCCGTTTTGCCTCCCTCGCTCCTTAACTGTTTCCCGTTTTGCTTCTTCTCTTCCTCCTTTCTCTTCTCCTTTGTTCTTCCCTCTTGTTTTCTTTATCCCTGTCTCTCCTTCCTCAGTTTGGTTGCCATCATCAACCTCTCCCCATCACTCCCACCCTTCTCCAGGCGCTCCATCCTGAGTCTCTCTCTCCTCCCCCATGGAGCCCATATTCCCAGCTCAGAAGCTGGGGCCTGATGCTGCGCCGGTGATGCCAGCCCTTGGCTGGGGACTGGGAACTGCACCCTTGCCACAAGACAGTTAGGATTGGCTCCCTGTCTGGGAGTGGCTCTAAGATTTGGAGGTATATTTGCAGGATTGAAGCAGCCTGATGTTTGCCAACTCCAAGGTAGTTGCTAAAGGAAAACTCATGTGACTTCTTCTGCCACTTCAACAGCAGTATCTGAGCCTCCCTGGCTCCAAATCAGGTGAAAGTGCATGCCAGGCAGACAGCAGCTTTTGCCCGCAAGGCTCTAGGGCCTAGTTCAGAGTGGTCCAGCCGAGGGACCCCTGAGGTCATGTCTTCATGCTATGTTTTCTGTGTTCTCCTCATCCTCCCCGCCCTCATCTCCTTGCTCCCTCCTCCTTCCCCAAGTACCCAGTGCCCCCAGGCGTTTCAGAGTCCGACAGCCCAACCTGGAGACCATCAACCTGGAGTGGGATCACCCGGAGCACCCTAATGGAATCCTGATTGGATACACTCTCAAATACGTGGCCTGTATGTTCTGCTTTTTTGCTTTTTTTTCTAAATCAGATGTAATCACAAACTCTTTCTCGACATTTTCTTGAGGAATGGAGGTTGGAAGCCTGTGGGCGCAGATCGCATTGCATAGGGATGAGAGTACAAGGAAAAGTCCCTTGTAACCAAAGGGAGCAGGCAAGAAGCCCCATCCCTGTTCCTCTTACACAGCTCCATCTGCAGGAGGGAGACAAAGGGTCCTCTGCTCCATTGAGAGACCGCCCCAGCCCTCGGGGAGCTTGTAGTCTCCCACATCCGCTTCCATCTGATGGGCAAACAGTGTGCACAGGCATCCAAAGATGCTAGGGAGACACTGTAGGCATCATTTGATAAGGCAGCTTCTTGTAGAACAGTCAGGCTACTGTGGGATGATTTGAATCAGGGGCCCGGGTCAGGAAGTCACCAGGTGGGAACCGGAATGCCGTCACACTTCAAAAGTGTTAAAGTGTAGGCAGTGCTGTTCCTCGTTGGGAAACTCAAAGGGCCAGGCGTTATGTTGTTGACACTTTAACAGACAACCATGGGCCCTCCATGCTGTTCTGAATTGATCCCTGGACCCGACACTTCTGGTGTGTTGAAGAAGTGGCTTTTTACAAATGAGGCAAAAACAATCAAAAGCTTTGGGGGATTTTCCCAAATCTGTTTCAACAGAAGAGAAGAATTCCAGAGATTTGACCTTGTCAGAGGGCTTGGGAAGTGTAAACTGATCTTTCAGAACTGGCCACATGGCTTTCAGGAAGCTAGAGACAATGGGCTCAGTGACAGTGTGAACCCTAGGGTCCAATACCTCAGTGCTTCCAATGGGAGGGAGATTGTGCCGAATACCCTTCCAGAAACTCCAGAAGCTGCCCAAGCCACAGCTTCTAGGACCCATGCAGGTACTAAACCACCCACTTGCCTCTCTCTCCAGTTAACGGAACCAAACTGGGAAAGCAGATGGTGGAAAACTTCTCTCCCAATCAGACTAAGTTCTCGGTGCAGAGAGCAGACCCTGTGTCGCGGTACCGCTTCTCCCTCAGTGCCAGGACGCAGGTGGGCTCTGGAGAGGCAGCCACAGAGGAGTCGCCAGCACCTCCAAATGAAGGTAGGTCCATGGCAGCAGCCCTTGGAGTGGAAGGTCCTAGCTAATCTGGATGCCTAAAGAAGCACACCAGAGCTGGGCGTGGCCTTCTAGGATGGAAAGGAAGTGAGGTCACAAATCCTCAGCACTGCCCACTGGAGGAGGTAGCCTGCCTTGGGTGCTGAGAGTTAGGTACCAGTACTGTATCTGGAAAAATCATGACTCTTAGACATGCAGGCAGACCTGGTCCTCCATTTTTCCGTGACTTGTTCAGCGCTTACCATCAGCCATCTGTCCATGAAGGAGCATAAGGGATCTTAAAGAAGGACATGTGAGTTGAGAGGAGATCAGGGGAAACATGAGAAATAACCAATCTGATGAACTCCAAAGAGTCAAACCGCTCATCTACCGAGGGAGGCAAGACTATAACTGAGAGTCCTCCCTGGGAACACCCTGCCTTTTGCCAAGAGCACACAGAGCCAAGGAGACGGGGCAAAGTGCAGGGATTGAAGCTGCTTCAGTGGATCGAGAGTAGAGCAGGAAATATGTTCTCCCTTTGCAGCCTGAGTAAGATGAGGTGTCTGGCTGCAGATAAGTGGGAGCTGGGGGCAACCATTTGCCAAGCCAGCTTCACAGAGAGCAAGTGAACTAATACCCTAAGTCAAGGGCAAGACCCAACCACTAAGATCCCTCCCTAGAGCTGCACCTGACTTGAGTGTGCACTAGAGGGCACTCTTGGCCCATTTGCACCTATGCTGGCTTCCCCATAACCTCCCAGAGATGCAAAGCTACAGAAGCCTCAAAACTGGCAGCTCCTTGGAAATTGATGGGGACCTTCTGCCTCTCCAGAGGCACAGTGGTCTGTGCAACAACCATTTCTTAAGCACCCATCCACATGTACCACACCAGACACTGAACCAGCACAACGAAGAGCACAACGTCTAGAGACATTTATGAGAATGGCTGGTTGTCTTTCTGCCCGAATGAAGGTGCTGAAGTTTAGGACATTCAATATGCAAGGGGGAGACCAAAAAAGAGGTGATATGAACAGGCGTCTCTGGGATTACCACACAATGGTGACTTGTACTTGCCTCCAGGGAGGCGCGGGTCCTGGGATCTGATTCTGGCCCAGATGGAATCCTTCTGAGTATCTTTCACCATCGCCCCCCCCATGCCAGGAGAGAATTATGCTTCCTAAGGGGCTGCCAGGCCATGCTGCCTGAGCTCCTCCATCCAGCAGGCCAGTACCCGGGCAGAAGCTAGAGAGGACTGCCGGTCCCCCGTGTCCCTCTCTGGTTGTCTAGATCAGGGAGTAGTCACACAACACGTTCCCAACCCTGGTGTCCTCTTCCAGCCTCTGGACACACGGGAAGTTGATTAGGGCTGGTGGATTTCAGGTAAGTATCTGCTTGGGTCTTTTGCCGGAGACTGCCAGGCTATGGCACACTCTCTATAGTTCTAGAGATATTCAGAAAGCCTCTCTGCCCAGCACAGACAGAAGACAAAGCCCCTTTGTCCAACTTCAGTGACCATGCTGGGGAAAATCCTACAACTCCGGCGGACAAGAGAACAGATATGTTTTTGAATTTGTGGAAATTTTCAGAGATTTGTTCTAGAGCTCTCAGCCATATTTAGGTTCCTATTTTCATGAAGTACAATTAACAGGGGTGGGGACTGAGACAGTGGGAAACCAGGTCAGGTGCTTTCAGAGCTCCAGGGCTTTGGGAGTCATCATACTTTCCAAGTCTGAGATGGAGATGGTCCCTCACCCACTGCTACCCAGCATCTTGCTATGAAGGTGCCGGGGCTATGTTTGTGACTGGTCGGTTGCTCCTGCACCACCTACACCTACATCTCCAGTTCCTGGCATCTTAGGGGGTCACCTAACGCAGCCAGGGCAGGACACACCCTTGGAAAAAGAGCTGGAAATACAGCATTTTGCCTGACCTGTGCCAGCAGCCACCTTTTACATGGCTCATCCTTGAATGTGGGTAGGAGCGCCATGTATCAGAAAGGTCTTTAAGCCCCAGATGACTCCCTGGTTAGCATGCTCAGGATCTCAACCTGGTCATACCACTGGAGGCAGCCTTGAGCCAGACCTTCTTTGCTTTACTCTGTGGTTTCACCTGTGCTGTTTTCTCTCCCCTCTCATCCTCTCTCCCTCTCTCTCTGGCCATCTTGGGTGCTGTGTCTGAAGCTACTCCAACTGCAGGTATTGTACCACAACAGAGGTAATGGGCATGGCACGGGGCTGTGCAGATGGAGCCCGTGCTGGCCAGAGCCTAGCAAGAGAAAGTGACTCAGGCTGAAAGTGTGCTCCAGGCTCACCCTTTCAGAGGAGAAGCCAGCCTTGAAAGGAAGGTGTACAGAGAACGTTGCCTGGAAGGGGTGAACACGCCCGTTCCTTTCACACAACACCTGCCCCTACTAAGGAGGCTGGCTTGGAAGGGGTTTCATATTTAGATTACCTACTGTGGCCACCCAAGCCTTGCTGTACCTGACATCTCTGAGCATATAGATAGCTCTGGAAGGTGTGCTATAGAGGGAACAGCCACAGTCCCCTGAAAGGGTGAGCACACTATGCATGCTGGCCTTGCATGCTGCATGGGGGGACCCAGCGCCATTCCACCAGTTAGCACATGTTCCTCTCAGTGAGAATAAGCAAGCATGTCTGTGAGTAAGACTGGGGCTCCAGGGCCTGGAGTCTCACTGGGTGTCAGGGACTGAAGATCTCCTTGACCCAGAAACTCAGCTCCTCAGTATTTGGTGTGGAGAGAGACTTTCTCCTTTGGGGTCAGGAACTGGGCAGATGGGTCTGTGTTAAAAGCCAACATGCTAACAATGTCCCCCTTTAGTCCTCATGTCATTGGCTTGAGGACCATCAAAGGGCTCTAAGTTAGAGGGCTGTCCTCAAGCCAGAGAACTAAGCGGGGGATGCCAGGGTTCCTCTCCTGGTCCTCTGAACTTGAATTTCCCCATGAGTTAGGATCTGAGGGCAGAATGCCTGGGGTATTACAAAGGCTAGAAGGCAGAGCACACATGTGCCTGCGTAAGGGAGCTCCAAAAGACACAAGCTTTGGGTGAGGTCATCAAAAGCCAGGCAGGCATCCGAGTTTGCTATGTACTACCTAGTCCACGTGGTCTCCTTCCTACCTATGCCCATTCATTCCCACCTGCTTCCTCCTAAATTGATTCTGCTTCTGTTGCATACCCTCCTTATGTCTTCATGTTTTGCCAGCTAGATCTGCCAGTAATTAAAAAAAAAACACCATGCTTCCTTCCCTCCCACCCAGAAACCAGGCCAGCCAGCCAGCCTGGCCAGTGCTCCCTACAAGATCTAAAGCCCTCTTCCAGGATGTGAGACACAGAGTTGTTCAGGGCCTGGGCACTATAGATCATACAATTCTTGCCATACTAGAGGGACGGTAGCCCTGCCCTGTCTTCCTGTGTGAGTCTCCTTCACAATTGTGACAGCAGGTACTCAAGTTGAATTGGTCAAGCATCTTCCTGTCTCCCTCCCAATCCTGGCACTCCAAACCCAATGTAGTGGATCCAGTCGCAAGAAGTCTGCCGTGTTGGGGGAAGGGAAGCCTCTGCAGCCCTCCTGTGAGCTGCCGTCGCAAGGGGGGTGAGGGGTACCATTCCAACCCTCCTTCCACTTTTCTTTCCAATTTTAAAAGATCTAAACTCATCATGCCATGCGGAACGGGCCCAGAGTCTCTGCTGTCAATCAAGCATGTTTCCCAGGCTCCAATTTCCACATGACACACCGGGAAGGGCAGATTGTACCTTTTTGTAGACGAGACGTGCCAGTAATATCAGATGTTCTCAGCTTTGCATACACAACGCCTTCTGGGGGCAGTAGAGCTTAGGTTTTCAAAGGGAGTGGTGTCCAGCCCACCACCCTCTTCCTTCTCACTCTCACCAAACCTCGGTACTTCCCCCAAGATGGATCAGCCCTTATATCCCAGTGAAGATAAACCCTCTCTCTCATCCACCTGTATCTTCAGTCTGCTAGGGTTGCTACCATCTGTCTAACAATCTGTGACTTGGCGGGGGGAGTCTTCATGCCATGTGGACAATCTTGGACCATCTTGGAATGTCTGGAAGCTGTTCTTGTCTTTGACTCAGCTCAGATCTGCAAATGTTGGGTGGGTAGCTGATAGAAACTCAGCTCTGTGGCAGGTTTAGGAGGACGAGAAAATGAGCAAAGTGTGTCCTCTCTCCATCTCTACCCAATGCTCTCCCAAACACTCACGTCTTTAGCTATGTGTCTTCCTTGGGGCCTTAGATATTCTACAGAGTTGTGCCATCCTATTTTGGCCAGCTCCTGGCTTCCAGATCTAAGCTACCCTAAAACCATCTTGGGTACTTGACATCCATTGCTCTCTCTAGGTTGCCGGCCAGCTGTGACCACCAATCAGTGGCAGCCTGAATGTTTCCAAACTCACAGTTCCTGCTGTGACTAGAAATGACATTCTCGCACAGGAATATGTCTGCCTAGCCTGTGGTCCCCTCTATGTATGCCAGCCCCTCTTCAGGGTTCACCAATCTTCCACCCTCTCCCCAGCTCAGCCCAGGGTGGAAATGCTCTGAATGTCCTGAGAAATGCACAGTTCCCTTCCTTCCTACCTGCCCCAGGCTTTGGACGGTTCTCTCTCTGACTGCAGTGCCTTCCCTCTTGGCCTCTGTCCTCACTGTATCCAAAAGCCCTCCATGCTGATAATGGACACAGCAATGAGTGGGTGGGGGCATGCATTTGCCAGCTGTGACATCTGAGGGGAGCACCCCAGAAGCTGCCAGGAGCTCCTGATATCTCTCTCCCCATCTCTTCTTAGCACTTATTCCCTGAGGTTTGCCTCAGAGCTCAAGAAGTGTGCCCAGGAACTATCACCACAGAGAATACTTGGTAGGAGTGGCTGTCAAATGTGGATGGGAGTGTCCACATGGTCACTTCTCACCCTTGTCTTCAAGCTGCCGAACACAGTCAGAAACCTGTCCTAACCTCTCAGCATTTCCATCCCAAGGGCATTTGCCGGGCATAATCTCTTCCTATCTGTCACCTGTAGCCAAGGGCAGGGTGGATCAGAGGGACAGATTCTCTTCCTGTCTGTCACTTGTGACCAAGGTCAAGGTGGAGATATAGGACCAGCCCTGAAGCAGCTAATGTACGCCTCCCAGTCTCTCTGCTTCTCTTTGTGAGTCCATGCTTCTACAAGCGTGTTGGTGGGTAGGAAAAGCCAATCCCTTCGGGCTGAGTGTTAAGAGCCCTGAATTGACTTCCTGGCCTAGGGCTGAACACATCCCTGGAAAAAAATTATAAGGAAGGCTTCTCTCTGCTCCCTGCCCCCACCCTAGCTACTCCTCCCCATGCCTTCTTAAAGTCTGAAAGTTGACTGGAGGTAGGGAGATACAGTGTTATTGACTTTGAATGTTCTCTGGATTCTCTGAGAGTCATTTTCCCGGTGTGGCTTTGAAGTTCCCATACTTAGGACCATTAATAGCTCTGATTTAGCAAGTAGGGAAGCTTGCCCTTCTTCCCAATAAGGGCTTATAACGCCAGAGTCCCGGGGAAGTACAGTAAGTCTGGTTCTGGCTGAAACGGCTTAGGCTCAGGAGCCTGATTCTCCTGAAACTGTTCTCCACCTTCCATCCCTGGCCAAGCCCTCTTCTGTAAGGATGGGAGATGCAGGGGGTATTATTTTCCAGAGTTTCTGGAGATTTGAGGCAGATATCACTATTCCTCAGAAGTTAGGGTTACTGTTTATGTCTAAGTCCCTGCCTACTGCCAACACCAGAAAGTAAACAGTGGTAAGATCATTAGCAGTGATGTCCTGAGAGAGAGAGAGAGAGAGAGAGAGAGAGAGAGAGAGAGAGAGAGAGAGAGAGAGAGAGAGAAGAGAAAGAAAGAGAAAGAGACAGGGAGAGAGAGAGAGAGAGAGAGAGAGAGAGAGAGAGAGAGAGAGAGAGAGAGAGAGAGAGAGAGAGAGAGAGAGCTCTGCTCTCTGATTTGCCTGGTCATCCTCACACTGAGTCTTAACAAATTTGTTCTTGAAAGTAAGGAGAGGAGGCCCCTTGCCAGCTTCTCTGACAGTTCCATAGAGGAAGAGTGGTATGAAAAAGTTGCTGCGTTTGTGGACTAGGCCCCAGGGCCCACTAACATGAAAAGCCCGCTTTGGATAAGCAAGTCTGGCCAAATATGAGCCAGTTGTTTGTGACCCAGATGAAGATTCCACGAGAGGGGGCGTGGCACTGGGCTCCTTTGTTGATGCCGTTTGTGTCTTTCTGTGGCCCAGAGACTAAGGTTGCCCATCACAGACCACGTTGCCATGCATTTTGTGTTCCAATGGGGACAGGGAGGACTTGGGGGTTCGTGGAGCATAAGTATCCTAGACAAAAAGATAGCACTAGACGTTTGGGTGCGGGGGTAGAGGCAGCTGCCAGTGGGTAAAGAAGGAAGAGATGGGGAGGGGGACAGAAACCACAGAGATAATAAAGGGGAACTTTGGATGGAGGGGCTGGAAGTGGCGAGCTTGCTTTTAGTCCCTGAAGGGCAGAGCCCAGTCACCTGCCCACATCTCCTCTGAGCTGAGGCTCCAGGACTGGACCCACATAGTGTTTCTGGGTCTTCGTGGGTGGTGTCTGGCCTACACTCTGTGCCATCCCTGGGGTTCAAATGATTCAGTACGTGTGTGTCCTTCGGCCACTGTCCTAGTCTCTGGTTGGATGCATGCTGGGTGCTTCAAGCTACGCAGACCATGAGAAGAAAATGAAACACACAGCAGCTTCATTCTCTTCCCCTCCCATGGCTGTGTATCGGTTGCTGGGGTCCTCCTGGACCGGTGCGAATGCTTGGGGAGGCTTCTGACTTCTGAGCCCCATCTTCCCACTGGGCTGCCTGCCTTGCACGTGGGGGCCGGATATGCTAGCTGGGTGCTACCAGACCAACCAGACCCGGTTATTTCCCATTTCCCTCTTAGCTCCTCCCACGTTGCCCCCGACAACTGTGGGTACCACAGACCTTGTGAGCAGTACTGATGCTCCTGCCCTTGCTGCCACCAGTGAAGCCACAACAATCCCCATCATCCCAACTGTCGTACCTACCACCATCGCCACCACCGTCGCCACAACTACTACAACCACTGCCGCCACCACCACCACCACCACCACCACTACCACCACGGAGAGTCCTCACACTACCACCATTGGGACTAAGATCCACGAAACCGGTATTGTTCATTGCCCATGCTCCTGGCCCCTCTGAGCCTACCTCGTAGCTTCTCCAGACAACCCCAGACTTATTCAGCTGAGTGGTGGGCTCTGGGGTGGTGTTTGACTAGCCCCGCCATGGTTTACATGGCTCACTAAGGCCCCAAGTCCCCACCCTGAGCACACACGGGTCTGCCACTCAGTGCTCGTTATGCTAGGCAGATCCTGCCATTCAACAGAGCACCAGGCCTCTCTGAGCATGTGCCAACTGGCCGGCCAGGGTCGGGCACTGAGGAAGAGATGTGGTGAGAAGGGAAGGTTCTAATGGTTGTGTGCCTGGCCAAGAACAGCTGCTGGCTACATCATGTCTGTCCACCTCTAGGGACAGAGGCTAGAAGAAGGAGCAGGGAGTGGCTGCCATGCCACACAGCTTTGCCTCTGGAGCTCCTGCCCCTTCCTTGCACCTCTGCCCCCAAGGAATTCTTGCAGGTATTTCTTTTAAAAAGTTAGAGCATGCAGGAAATGCTGTTACCAGGTCATAATGCTTGACATGGTTCCATTTCTTTCCCATGCACTCCTAAAATGCTTATCTGGGGGAAAAAAAACTACAGGCGTTCTGGGGATGACCTTTAGGGTCCCTGGACTTGGAGAATTCAGTTAATTCTGAATACCAAGCATCAGTCTGTTATTACCATAGAGCAGAGGGTCCCTACCTTCTTGGACCCAAAGGGCAGCTGTAAAAACAGCCTGAAGCCACTGGAAAGACTGCCAGGAAGCACCCAGAAGGCTCTCGTTCCCAGAGAGTCATAGACCCCTGGCCTCCACTGCTTTCGCTTCTTGGAAAAGTCCCTCTACCTTCCCAGCCCCACTGCCTCCCACCCTCCCACTCACCAGCCTCTGAATGTGGATGGAGGCTTGTGGCCCTTGTTAGTGTTTGCTCTAGCTCAATCACTGGTATTAGGTGAGCCATAGGCAGAGGCAGGTGATTCACAGTTGACACATTTCTCTGCACCTGGAAATGCTAGAGGCACAGTGCTAGAATGTAAACATGACATTTAGGGGGAAAGCCAACCCAGGAGAGGCCTTCTACACAACCAGATGCCATCAGCGGCTTGGGAGTTGCTGTCCTCTGGGTCATAGGGAGGCATCTTTTTTCTTCAGAGCAGGTCTTTGAATCCTTAAAGTGCTTTGAATTCACAGAAGTGAGCCAAGAATTCAGAAACAATGAATCTTGCTCACTGGCAATTCCTGACCTAGAAACATCACTCTTAAACTAGGCAGCACTGGCCCATGACTCACAGCCCTAGCGTAGATGGTTCCTGAAGCTGCAGAGAGCCTGGCCACAGCCCTGATGGTGTAGAGAGCTTGGGGACAGCTGTGAAGTGTCCCAGCTTCCCAAGAATCTTTTAAATGAAATTCATCTTCATCTTGTCTTATATCTTAACATGCATTGTTTCATAACTTGTCCTTTTTCAGGGCATCCTTTGGGTCCTCTTTAGATGTAAGTTCTATTTCCTAGCTCACATGCTGGGAATCCATGAAACAATGCATGCTAATCATGGCCTCCTTTGGACTTCAGTGCTCAGAGCTCACCTTCTTGGTCCCTCCCTCCGAACACCCCAGTTCTTTAGCAGTCACCACCCGGAGCCTTCTGCATGGTTCCCACCTCAAAATCATCTGGTTTCCCATTGCTTGGGTTTTTCTCTTCTCTGTGTTTATGACGAGTGTGCTCGTGTTACTGTGTACATGTTAGTGTGTGTGAATGCAGGTCCATACATGAAGATGAGAGAATGAGTGTTGGTGCTGGCTTTCCAGCTATCTGGATTTGGGACAGGGTCTCTAGCCATGTGCTGCTACACACTGTGGCCTGCAGGGGTCACGTGGTTCTTCTTCCACCCCCCCCCCACCCCCCAGTCCGCAATGACAGACAATTGTGCTTCTGTATTTAGCTTTTGTTTGGGTTTCGGAGATCTGACTCAGTCTGACAGGCTTGCACGAGAGCGTTTTACACACTGCCCTCTCTCCAGCCCCTGCTTGGCCTTCCCTAAAAGCACCCTGATCATCGCCATTCCCTTGGAGAGCATCGGATTTAACTCAGTATTACTTTGGTGGGGGCGGGGGTCAAGCTGTTTAGATGCAAATTCTCCAGGTGTCATACAGAGTACTGAGGTTAGGAGCAATAAAACCCCCACATCAGGGCTGGTCAGCTTCAGTACAAGCTCCTTGAACTTGAAGGGAGGGGTAATTATTAAAGCAGTCAATGTGATCAAAACGGCCCTCGCAGCAGAAAAGAAGCCTCCCTCCCTCCCTCCCTCCCAGGCAGCAGGCCTTCTGCTCCATCATCAGTGGAGCCTTCTTCTCAGCCCCTCATTTGACACACATTGTGTTCACCTGGGGCAAACAACACCTGACAGGGTTGCAGTAGGGGGAGGAAAAAAAAAAAAACAACCAAAAAACACTTCTTTGAAGTGAAAATCAGGAAATCTTTTATCACTTCCCCAGCCCTGCAGACCCAATCACATGTCAACTAGATAATGAATAAATGCATCGCCAATATACTCTATTCCTTTGTGTCTGACAAGTGAGCTGGTGACAGTGCCCCCTTGCATTCTAATTAAATATGCACGAGCCATGGTTGTCAAGCCCTTGAACTACAAGCATCCTTGCTAGTCCTTTGCTGCTAAACCTTTTCTGGGAAATGTGGTGATCAGACTTCAGGGACTCTGGCGTTTGAAGGCTGCTGCCATTCCCCTGTATATGGACTATGGTTCCAGACAGTGCTGTGGCTTTGATAAAGTAGCTCCCAGCCCTCAGGTGCTTGATAATTAATGTCCTCTTTGTTACATGGAGATGAAGCCTCAATGGCTCTGTGGCCGAGAAGCCTACAAGCAGGGCTCTTCTCATACAGGGAACCTTAAGGGTTGGATGCCAAGGGAAGCTCACCATCCTTTGGTCCTATGTAGCCTGTGTTGGATACATCAATTCTGACTGTACTGGGGACCCTGAGGTTGTAGGACACAATACAGGTCATCCAGGCTCTCATTAACCAGAGGGCCTCAGATCAAAGTCACCTGATTAGTATTCTCTAGCTTCCGAAAGCCAGGAGAGTTTTCCTGTACTTAGTCTCATCCTTAGTATCTTGTTCTTCCATGGTTTTCTTGTGGTGGCGTTAAGGGTGGAACCCACATGCCCAGCAAGCACACCAGTACTGAACCATCCCCCAAGGCTCTCCTGCTTGATTTTCAAAGACAGGCCCTCTCCTTTTAGTGAAGGAGGAACGCCTACTCTCTCCCCCTCTGCCAGCATCCTGACCACGGGGTCTGTTTCTTTATCCCGTTCCTTACCCTGTTTAAATCTACGGCAAGGGATCCAAAAAGGCAACAAATCCAGATTAGAGCCCCAAGTGGTAAGACTGGAAGCCCACTCTTGTTCCTAACCTCCTCTTGTGAGGAGGGAGAGACAACTTTCTGATCCCCTTCACATACAGACAGGTCCTGTGCATCCCTGGGTACCCTTGGCCTGGCTGTCAAGACTGAAGCCTGTGGCTCTCTCTGTTGAGCCCCATGCACAGCTGTTCCTGACTCCTCCCTTTCCCGGCAGACTCTGGGTGTGAGAGGATGCACACGTAGAATGTGCGTCTCTGAGTCTCCTGTACTTCCTCTCTCCTCACCACTAACTCCTCTTCTAACCCGCCTGCCAGCCCCCGACGAGCAGTCCATTTGGAACGTCACGGTGCTCCCCAACAGTAAATGGGCCAACATCACCTGGAAGCACAATTTCAGGCCTGGAACTGACTTTGTGGTTGAGTACATCGACAGTAAGCATTGCTATGTGGGGTGGGAGTGGTGCAGCCGTGGAGGGGAGCGGTGCATACCCATTAAAGAGGTCCTGTTGAACTCCCCCAGGCTTAGAAGCCTTTTAGCCTGGCTTCATTGTGGTCTCGTGAAATCGATCCCGGCCAGAGATAGCAGAGGTGGAAGGAGCAGACTTGAACGGGGAAGGGACTTCCAAAGCCATTAGCAAAGACCTTGAGTTGCCTGTGTTGTGGAGGATCTGTGGACTGTGACCTGTGTCCCAGTCTTGCCCAGAATGAGGATTTCGAGTATCCGAACGTGAGCCAGGTCTTGTTTCTGTGTTGATCTCCTGGCCAAGACTCTGGCTGTTCTGATGCTTCTGCTGCATGGTCCAGGGCTCAGACCTGGGCTGCAGCTGCTCCCTGTTCACAGAATAGTGGAAAGCACCAGTCACAGACACAGACCAGACAGCCAGTGGTTCAAGGTGAGCTGTGAGCTCTATTGGAGCTTGGGTTTTAAAAAACAAAACAAACAAAAAACCTGAATGGGCTGCAGAATGTGTTCCAGAGATCTGCCTTCTCTGGACAGGGCCCCTCCTGTTCTTCAGGGTGAAGCCCACACTTCTCTAACATGTGCTGGAAGCAGTGAAATCAATAAGGCAGCCAGAAAACACGGCTGGATTACTCCCTTCCCCCAAGAACTCTTAGGAAGTGAAAATCTGGTGCTAGGTTCTGAGGGGAGGGCTGGAGTCCTGATTTGGGTCTGGGTGTTTTAAGTTCCCTGCCACCACCATTCCCTCCCACAACCCAGAGACATAGACACTTCGTCTGATATGTGAATTTGCAGTCTGGCAAACAGTTCAAGATGACGCCAAGAGTGAAGGGAAAGCCAAGGGTCCTGTCTCACCTCCATGTGAGACACTAACCATGTGACACACTAACCAGCACGCTGGCTCCCCCAGGAGGCTCTTGTGCAGAAAGTCAATCACTTTCACGGGGGAGCTGACATGCTTCATGGCTGAGGCAGCCAATCTTAGTGTGCTAAGTCTGTGGTGAGGAAGGAAGACTTCGGGGGGAGACATCACATAAGTGTTAGAGTTGCATGCTGGGCATCAGGGAGCTGCCTGTTCTGAGTGGTGGACTGGACCCAGGGAGCCTTAGCCCCCTTTCCCCACCCCTCTGCTTTTGACAGAAGAACAGGGACCTAAACACTCTCTCCAGTTCCTGGTGCCTGGTTGCAAGCTGACCTAGGTTTCTGTTCCCCAGGCAACCATACGAAAAAAACTATCCCTGTTAAGGCCCAGGCCCAGCCTATACAGCTGACAGACCTCTATCCCGGGATGACGTACACGTTGCGGGTGTATTCCCGGGACAACGAGGGCATCAGCAGTACCATCATCACCTTTATGACCAGTACAGGTGAGAGGGGATCTGGCCTTGCCATCCCCCCTGCAAGCATGGGCATCTCACCCTCATCCCAGCTTCCTGCTTGTCTCTTCTTGGAAACAGGTCTCATCTCCACCCCATCCCTTGCCTTGCATGGTGTGCCTCTGGCCTGCAGGAAGTCAAAAGGGTCAGTTAGATGTGCATTGTGCATGCCCCAGTGGAGAGCAAGCCAGGCTCTGGGCCCAGGCTGGGGGGTGGGGGAACCGACTGAGTTGGGAATCTGGAAACAAAGGACTGAATAATGAGGACAGGGAATGCTTGGTTCCCCACCACGTCTGTAACAAAAGGGTTCAGTGCATGCACAAGCATGGTCAGTGTGTGGGGGCCCCGGGGGGTAGCGGGGACGCTGGAGAGTCCTGCACTCTACCCCACTGTTTGGGAGCTTGCTCTCTCCGGGTAAAATGAGGGGAAGAGAGCAATGGGGCCTGGTTTGATTCAGAATTCTCCTGAGCAACCAGCCAGACCCGGGACCAATGTGTGTGTTGCTGGCTTGCCGACATCAGTGTTTTGTTTTAATTTCACTCCAAGTTTGTCCTGCTTAAAAGTTAAGTGGGTTTTGGCTGTTGTTGTTTTGTTTTGTTTTGTTTAATCGTGCTAGGGGCAGGACGATGACAGTCCGGCTCTGTAGGAGCTTTAGCCTGGATAGAGAAGCATCTTCATTGTAGCAAATGGCTACCTAGGGCTCTGGAGGGACCAGGCTTAGAATTTCTCTTCTGGTGGGCTGGGAATCTGCAAACACAGAGGCACTTGCTTGTCTGCGGTGTGCATTAGTGTGTATCTTTCATATCAGACACACAGCCAAGTTGAAGCCCTGGGGCTAAGGGGAGGTAGAGAAAGGGATTATGCAAGAAAAGGATAAGCCTTTGCCTCTAGGGATGGCCTAGTCAGACGCGGATTATTAGACACGCAGGATGGGGGGAACCCCACAATGATTTATGTGAATTTCTGAATGTTGACTTGAATATTCATTACTGTCCTCTCGCCCAGCCACATGATGCTGGTAGCTTGTATCTAGGGAGTCACTGTCTATCTGCAACCTTGACTCACCCTACCTCTTCTAGCCTGGTCCCTCCTGGTGTGTCTTCCCTGCTGTGACTCTGCCAGTCCCACACATTTCCAGCCCACAGAATCTGAGTGTGCAGCTCCTTGCTGTAGATGAGCCATGCGCACACAGGCAGGAGGTCTGAGTGAGCTACCAAGCCATCTTGTTACATGAGAAGCCATGCGTCTGCATCGGGCAGAACAGAGCTCTGCCTCTCTATGTGCTGTGGATAAGGGTTGGAAAGAGAGCCAGAGAGAAAAGGAAAGGACCAGACCCTCCCTTTGGGTTTGACCTAATCTGTTTCAAGTATTAAGCATGCATTATTGGGAGGCAGTTAGTAATGGCTGGTACTTGCTTCTGAATGTTGTCATCAATACCTAGTTTTCTTTCTCTCTGCTGGATCGCAAGAGGCTCTGATTGCTTCCCTGCCTTAAGAGCCATGGAAACACATAGCATCCACAAGTCTTCCCAGACCTGTTCTCAGGCAAGCTGGAGCATCCAAGCTCAGTACCTTTTCTCTGAGTTCAGGTTGTTCGCCTCTTCCTAAACCCGCTAGAAATTACTGTGTGCATACCACATGAGGAAAAGAAAATATTTTCGCTCTCTAAAGTCTGTATGTACCTGTAAAAATGTGTCAAAACAGTTTCCTGTAGGTAGACTCTGGAGGCAAGGCCACACAGACCCCGGATCTCTATGTTTCATCAAAGTAGAGCTTCTCTGAACATCTCTGGGCCCCAACCACAGGCCATCACTGTAGCCTGCAGATAACATGCTGCAGTGGTTCAGGAAGGAAGGAGAAAGGACTTCTGGGAATGCGAACAGGATTTCTAACCCTCACCAGGAAGATCCCATTGGGAACTTAATCATCCCTTGTTAAAGCTTCTGAAGCCAGAAACCTGGGGGGCTACAAATATGTGACCACAGATTCTAACGGGCCCTTCCATGCTTCTCTGCTGGGATGCAGTGAATGACCCAAGTGTTAGAAGCAGGCAGCAGGCAGCTAAGACCTCATGGAGGCCAGAGAGACTGCAGAATGAGACAGGGTGTATGGAGACAGGTGACATGGGACTTGAGGGAGAGCAGCCACATTTGTGGATGAAGAAAAGCCATCCCTGCTATGTTACTTGTTCATCCATTTTTAGAATGACTTTCAATGATGAGCCTGTTGTGTATGGTCAAGCCAGATTCCTCCAGCTAGACATGGTAATTGAATGAACTGTTTGGTTAACAGGTGAATTTCCCATCTTTTAAAAATAGGTTGGAGGTTGCATGAACTTTTCCAAGAAGACATAAAATTAACATCTGCCCCAAATTGGAATTGGCACCAAAGCCCATAGAATGACTCATTCATGTTATGTTTGAATAAAATGAGTTTATTAGCAATCGTTTGCAGAGTGGTAGACAACTACAGACAGGTGTATTTTCCCCAAGTTGTCCACTGCGCCTAGTACCAAGCCTGAGACTTGATGTGACTCTGAGTCTCCAACTGGATTGATGTAAAAGTGATTTCAAGTGAACTACCCAAGGCTCAGGCAGTAGAGATGACTACAGGCTCAGCCAACATAAGGCACAGAAAAAACCAGACTGAGAAAGTTGTATTTCTGCATACTCCATCCTGGTCTCAGAAAACGCTGCCCAACCATGGAAAGGCTGGCTTATTTTGTGTATATAATAGTTAGGTGGAAGCTTGCCACAAGGCAGGGTCACTCTGGCTACGATTGGGAAGACTAGCCTTGCTTCAGGTGTGGCTTAGAAGGCTTGAATGTGAACACTTCTAGTCCAGGGCAAGAGGCATTTGGACTTGTGCTTGCCAGGCATATGGTGGAAGAAGTGTGCCTACCATTTCCGGTTGGAGGTAGGAAGTATAAATGCTGTCTCTGGAGACTGATAGAGTTAGCATCTCAGTGCCATTTAGCAGATCAATGGAGCGTGGTATTGGTGGTCAAGTGTAGTAACTCCAGAGCTTCACTCACGTGGCTTCCTCTCAACCCAAGCTGAGATCATTCTATTGGTTTCTGTCCTTGAGAAACCAACTTACTTTGGCCCCACTTGGTTTTGTGTCTAAAGTTCGCAAGAATTTTTATTTTTTTTTTACATTTTTCAATCGTCTGAAGCTACATTTCAACTTCTCCTGGTACTCTCAGGAACGGAACGCTGTCTTTGCCTTCTAAACTGCCCCTGTAACCACTTTCCCCAGGCATCATGACCTTCTTTCTGAAGAGAAAGGGCATGTCGTGGAGATGGCTGCCAGAGTATCAGAACAAACACAAGGAAGATGGGGGTGCAAACGGGTGGTTGCAGAGATGCAAACCAACCTCTCTGCAAAATATGGGTGCCACTGTCCAAACACAAGTGAAGTAATCCCCTCACCTACTGCCTAGGCATGGTACGTAGACAGGAACATCCATGTGGCCACTGGTATGGGGAAAACCAAGAGTGGGGTCCCAGGTTATCTTCTTACATTAGGATTAAGTGAGTGTGTTCATCTGTAAGTAGTCACTGCTCACTTGTTATGTGATCGCATTATGCTGAGTACTGGGAGGGTCACCTTGTTCTCAAAACTAGAGCAGCACAATTGGAAACCAGGATCCAGGAAGCAGAACAATTGCATGTTAATTTGCCTGGAATAGGGCGAGTGAGAGAATAGTCCGGGGAAGCTGTAAGTTGGAGTGACCAGAGAGGCTCTGGAGGGAGTAGAGAATGTGAAAAGGTAGTCAGATAACAGGATGGCAATCTGGAGTCTTCAGTAGAGTGGGAACAAGGCAGGAAGAAGGCCAGGCAGACTTGAATTCCATGTGGCAGGAAATAAGGGAGGCATTATCTGAGTAACATATGGGAGTGGTAACGCTAGCCTCACTGCACCCATGGGTGCCAAGATGCATAGGTGCTGCACATCATGTATCAGAGTTGTTTCGGGGGGTTGACAATAGTCCTTAGACATGGAACATGAATGGAAATTCAGGCCGAGAGGTTAGGGAAGAGTGTTGGACTCAGAGCTGTGGCGCTGGCTGTGGGTACAAGAGATGATTAAAAGGATTGCCAAGTAGAATTCAAGACTTGCCTGAGGTCAGAGTCAGGGTAGGGAGGTAGGGGTGGGAGCTCACTTGAAATGATAACTGAGACATGGTGGTTACAGTACCTTGAAGTCAACTTCCTGTGAATGAGGAGCAGACTTGCCAGGACCTGGAGGCCATGAGAGACAATGGGTCCACCTGATCAGAACAGAGAGCATGGGCCGTCCCAGAAGGTCTGACAGGTTCCTCCAGGTTTGTGTTTTAAGATACAGAAGAGAGCAAAGAGGAAGAAACGGAACTTGCTGGCAGTCCAGGGGTCCCTATGGGAATGAAGGACCAAGGCGTTGCATCCCTATTAAACATTGGAGGGAGACGAAAGGGAAGGAAAGACCTTTGTCACATAAGGAGGGACAGCTGCAGAGGCTGTGCACGTTCAGGCTCTCCTGGTCCAGGGAAGGATCCGGGGAAGGGATGGACAGTCTAGAGGGCAATGAAGGAGAAGTAGCAGGATTGCTGGACCCTGAGCAGCAAAGTCCTGATGAAGTGAAGTTGTGGTGGGATGGGTCTCCCTCTAGTTCTCAGAGGAGAACCAAGGAGTGGAGTCATTGCGAGACTCACTGGTCTTCCTCCGTAGAGAGAGAGCAAAGGGCCTGAGGCAGGTGGCTGAGGGGTGGGAGTATGGAGAGGGGTGCAGAGCTGCAGGTGATGGGGCTGCTCTCTGTCAGAGCCTGATGGGTGAGGAATACAGGTGTCCTCTCATAGCAATTAGGAGTTTTAGAGGGTTGTAGCAAAGGAGGATTTTAGCACCTCGTGGGGTCTGGGCCTGCTGTGTGGGGAACAACAGACAGGAGCATGAATGGAAACAGGGCAGGGCTTTTGTCCCCAGCATACCGAGATCAAGGTGTCAACAGTCACGTGTCTTGTGGACTAGGCTTCTTTGCAGCAAGTCAGCTAGGATTGAGGTGCCACCAAGGACCTGTTTGTCACTCCTTAGTGTTTATAGAGAGAGCCTTCCTGGCATGATGTATTCGGCTTGGCCCTGAGAAGACCATGAAACAGTTTTTGCATTCTATTACTGGTAAAGGGTAAAATGTACCCAGAAGCTAGGGCACAGGGTATCACAGGCCCAGTGTCTCCTAGGAGGAGGTTTGGTGCTATGACTCACTCCACGGGTTGCCTAGCTCTCCCAAGCCTGCTCTGGGCTTCCCAGGGTATGTTGCATTCCATAGATCCTTCCCTTCTTCAATCTCAGCTCCCACCAAAGGCTGTGTTTCAGGAACTATCCCCTTTGTCCTCTGGTCCACAGGAAGAAGGGCGAGTGCGTACTTAGCACACTCTCCCACAAACCCAAATCCCCAGCCCCTGGACAGCATGGACACCATCAAAGGACTCATGGGCTCCTGCCTTTAGACACACCTGTATTCCCTTCAGACCACAAAGGAATCTGTGAGATGGTCTCCACAGAAAGGAAGGCAAGTTGGCTTGTCACAGCCCACCAGGAGCGTTTCCTGTGAGATGACCTAAAAGCACTGACCCAGCACCACTGACTGCCTGACTTGGGCACCTGGGACTGAATGATCTGCCTGCTGTCAGAAAGCTCAGCCCAGCTGGGGAGACTTGAAAAGGCACAGGGCCACCCGAACCTCCATCTGGCCCAGGAGCCACTGCCAAAGCCTGGTGGACAAAGAGACTGTGCCTGCAAGGTGTCCTCCAGCAGAGCTAGCAGTGTGGGCATGCTCAGCCTCCTGACAGGTACCATGCAGGCCCGTTCGCCAGAACCCGGCTGCACACGGCAGCCCTCATTCCCACCAGGCTGTGGCCAGTGCGTGCGGTCTACAGCAATGCCATGCCTTCTCTTTAGTAAAGTCTCCATCCTACAGGGCCTGCGCAGCCTTTCGCTTCTCTGCTCCCTGCACCCCTTTTCTTTGCCTCTTTCCTGATCTTTGGCCCTTGGTTCCTTAACCACTTTCTTTCCTCCCTGAGCAGAGTAGCTTGGGCCTGAGGGCTGCTAGGTGGGAACAGTAGGCTCTAGGACAAATCTGCCCAATAGTTGTGCGCCTCCCTCCTCACCCGGTCCCCACGGTGGCTCACGGTTTGCTTCCCACCCACCCTGCCAGCTTACACCAATAACCAGGCAGACATCGCCACCCAGGGCTGGTTCATCGGGCTCATGTGCGCCATCGCCCTTCTGGTGCTGATCCTGCTCATCGTTTGCTTCATCAAGAGGAGTCGCGGCGGCAAGTACCCAGGTGAGAGGTGGGGCTTGTGGTCAGGCTCTCCCACGAGTCACCAGGCCACCACCAGATCCAAAGCTCTGGTCTCTGGTCTTTTAATCTTAGAACTGCAGGCCTGTGGCATATTTGGCCTATTTCTTACAAGCTACCAGCAAACAACTGAGTTCGTTTATTTGCCCCGGGTGAATGGATGTTGCAGTCTAGGCTGCTCCAGGGAGGCATGGGAGGAGCCCTGGCTCCTACTGAGAGGGCCTGCCTTCCCTTGACTTACCTTCTCCCATTGGCTCTGCAAAGTGGCTTTCTTTAGCCTGAGGGTCATTAAGGCACTGGGTCAGGGCAGAGGTGGGGAAGTGAAGTAGCCAGGCTAAAACATGGAGAGTAGGGGCTAGGCAGAAGCAGCATAACCCAGAGAGAGTCCACATGGTGGGTCACGCCCTGCTGAAGTTTCTCAATGCCTGCCACTACAGATTCAGCAGCTCTGGGGACAGGCTGTGCTAATGACACCCTGGCCCTTCCTTCAAGTCCCACAGAAACATATCTCTCCTGTTCCTCAAGGGCCTTCAGTGTCAAGGACAAGGACCTCTCCATTCTTGTTTCAGAAAAATAGTGATTTTTTTTTCTCAAATGGGCAAGAGAGCCATCTGGCTGTGACAAGGTGGGTCAGGTGACAGGAGGCCGGATGACAGGTAACTTGAGAGTGGCCACCCTGTTGAAGTGAGGGATGAGCATGCTTCTGCCTTAAAGCTCCAGCCAGGACACATTCCCTTGATGCTCCTTGCTCTTGGAGCAGGGACAGGAAGCCTCAAACGAAGCAAGTAAAGGGAGGAAAGGTGGCGTCTCCTTCGTTCCCTGACTGGTGCCCACAGACCCTGTGTCCCGAAGCTGTGCTCCTGCTAGGTGAGGGAGGGTAGGAATTTAATTCCCTGTTGGCGAGCAGTGAATCTTTCACTTTGTTCCACTATATTTACACTGTTGTTTTTTTCTCTACAAGAGAGAAAGCCAGAATTGGATAGAGGTCCAAGTATGGGGGGACTTGACTGAATCAGGGGCCCGGGACCCCTAAGGAACCCACCAGATACACTTAGAGCCTGCCTTTGGCTTCTAGAAAGTGTCCCAACCCAGAAAGTTCTCTCAAACCATCCAGTCCCCTTCCCTCCAACTTCGGGGCAAGCTCCTCATACAGTAAGAAGCCGAGTGACCCAGGAACAGGGCATGGACTCTAGTCTTCACTCTTTCCGCAACTACTAATTCTGTGGCCTGTCCTCACCTCTCAAATGGGTTGATTATTCCATTCAGGCATCAAAAAGTCCCCCATTTAAGCACCTATCATATTCCAGCCAGGCTCTGTGCTAAATGCTAAGAATATAGGGGCAAGATAACTGACTTCAACATTACAACTAGCTGAGAGGGACTGACCACAGCGGAGTAGGACAGGCCTTGGTTATGTTTGTCATCACCCCAGAGACCACATAGGGAGAGGCTCAGGGGAGAACACCTTCATCCCACAGCCTCCCTCTAAGTGCTGTGCTCTGAGCTTTGGAGAAACATAATCCCCCCTCCCTCTGAAGGAGAAAGCTATCTTTTGTCACCAGTGAGGAAATATATAAGACTATTACAATTCAGAACAAACCAAGAAAGCGCTAAACAAGAGAGTATTTGCCTTTGGCAGAAAATAAGGATGCCACCTCTGGTATATTAAGATAACTTGATGGAGAAATGGCAGGGAGCTGAGAGGTTTGTCAGCTGGGGTGTAAAGACCCCTTGGGGTGTGAAGGGGAAAGAATCAGCTTAGCAACTGATTGAGCCTGGGGGCATTAATAGTGCTTTGTTAAAAGGAAGCTTGTCATTCACTGTCACTGAACCCAAGATGGTTCTAGGGTGTGGTGTATGGGGGTGTCAGGGACTCTCACTGAGCCCTGAGTGAGGCTAGTCCCAGCGATCCTGTGTCTACCCCCACAGCTCCAGAGTTACAGGCACACACAGCAACACCTGGCTTCTTACATGGGTGCTATGGGACTTGAACTCGGGTTCTCACGCTTGCTCGGCAAGCGCCCCTAACCACTGAGCCATCTCTCCAGCCCCCAAGGTGATGTCTTTTGTCTGTGTGTTCAGAAGCACCCTGGAGAATAGAGACATCCTTCTTAATCACCCTGTCTGTCTGTCTTGCCTTCTCTTACTGGTTAGTGCGAGAAAAGAAGGACGTCCCCCTGGGCCCTGAAGACCCCAAAGAAGAAGATGGCTCATTTGACTACAGGTGACTGATCTCCTTCCTCCCCTTGTAGCTGGCCTTGCTGCCCAGAGCAGCCACAGGGCTGCTGCGTCCACATCCCTCCAGCCCACGGGACTGCCTGCTGCTTTTACCTCTGTGGCAGCCCTTTGGCTGGGCATGTGTACTCCGAGTCTGAGAAGCCCTGGTACCCTCTCCTGGACAGGACTTCCTCTTTGTTTCTTTCCACTTTTTCCCTCAAAATGAGCCCTGGGCCTCTTTTCTGTGAAGTGAGCTTGACCAACAGGCCTCTTCCCAGCAGGCACCCTACTCCTCACCCCCAAGAGGATAAATGACCTGAGAAGCCTCACCGCTCTGTGAGCGGGTGGCAGGGCTGAGGAGCTGGGGCTGGGCTGAGGAGCTGGGACAGGGCTGCCATGCTTCCTCTCAGATCCGAACAGACCTTTCAGTCAAGATTGTGCCAAGTGGTCACTGTCCCATCTGGATGGCCAGTACATTCTGAGCTCAGGAATGGGTCAGGGTTTTGTTCTTTTGATATTTTCTCCCATCCTAAATGGTCTTGGATGAGATTCCATGACCATGTAGGATGGGAGAAAATATCAAAAAAAAAACAAAAACAAAAAAACCAGCCCTCCTTCCCCACGCCAACCCTGCTAACTCTGCACAGGTCACCCTGTCGTCCTCTGAACTCTCCTCCTTTCTGAAGCCTCTACTACCTGCTCTTCAGGAGCCTGGCAAACAGCACCAGGTCAGTAGGCAGGGAGCTGCTGCCTGCCCAGAAGCCATCTGGCAGCTTATGGCCACAGCTGTCCATCCAGCCTGACATCCCTATGACAACCTCCTCCTCTCTCCCTGGTTGTCCTGGGATCACCTGGCAGGTCTAGCCTCTCTGTGGGCTGAGAGCTACCTCTGGCCCTCAGTTAAAAGGCCTCAGGCTTTTTTTTTCTTCATGCCCTCAGTGTCGACCAATGGAGTGGGGGTGAACTCAGGACAAGCTGTTCCCACCTTCACCTCTCCCCCTCCAGCCAGCATTGCCTTTGCAGGTTCTGCTCCTAGGACCTGCATCAAATGAGTTTGAGAATCCTACTGGGGAAAGGCTAAAATTAGGAAGTCGGAAGAACTAAGTTTCTAAGGGAATGTGCCTGGGAGTGAGGAGTGGGCTCTCCTGCTCTGTTCTTGGCTTTCTTAAAGCTGAATATCCTTCTCATGAGGTCTGCCTCTTCCCCGTGTCTGTCCTCTTGGACCTTGCAGGTCTGGGGCAGGGGGCCGGGGGCAGACAGCCATGCAGTTGGCTAACCAGGCACTCTTGCATTCAAGTCTCCTTAGGAAAGGTCCATTCTTCTAGACTAAGGCCCCTTTCCTCTCAAAGGCCCCACATGCTGAAGTCGGACTCTGCAGGACTGTCTCTGCCCAAGGGCGCACTTAGCGAAGTCCCTGGACCCTGTGCAGGAGTCCCCCTAGACCACCTAATACAGTGTCCGTGCTCTACAGTGGCATGTGTGGGGAGGGGCCTGACAGTAAGAATCTGACTGTAACCAGTTCCACTTCCTGCCCAAACTCAGCTTAGCCCTGAAGATCCACTTGCCTCACTCTGCCACCGTCCTTCCTGTGGCCCTGCCATCAAAGCACACAGATAGGCCATGGTAGTAGGCCACATTCACCCAGGGTATGGCAGGTATGGACCTGTGACTCTGTGACCTGGCTATAACCTGTCCATCAAGAGGCGTTGGAGCACACGTGGCCTGTGCTCTTGACAAGTGGGCACATCAAGGAAACCACTTCCGTCTCGGCATTGCTCCTCTGGGCAAAAGCAATGCTAATACTTTGGGGTTAGCAAGTAAAGGGGGTGCATGCTCCCCCCACATGCCACGATGGGGCATTAGCATTGCATTAGGTCGTCTAGGGGGACTCCTGTACAGGGTCCAGGGACTTCAGATAAATGCACCCCTGGGCAGAGACGGTCCCACAGAGTCAGACTTCAGCATGTGGGGCTCTTGAGGGGGAAAGGAGCCTTGGTCTGGAAGAAAGGGACTTTCCTTGAATGGAAGAGTGCCTGGTTAGCCAACTGCCTGGCAGGCTTGCCCATCTGTTCAGACTCCGCTCCTGCTCCATCTAAGGCCCCCCTCCTGGTAGCCGTCTATCCGAGGCTGCTGTTAGAACACACTGACTGTTAAAATGTAAGCTTAGCTGGGGAAGGACTGAGGAGTAGCAGTGTGGAGGGTGTGGTGTATCTGCTCAGACTATCTGGCACCGCTGTGGTAACTTCTGCAGGCCTCTAGACCTCCACTGCTGGCCCACAGCTGCTTCCTGCCTGGGAGCCTGTGTCACCTGTGAAATGTAACCAGCAGCAATTTTCCAGGCACACCAGCTTAGAGGAGCAGCAGCTCTCAACCTGTGGGTCACAACCATTGCCAAACACAGTACCAATGGTCTTAGGAACTGAGACGTCACTCAGTGGCAAAATTACAGTTATGAAGTAGCAACAAAAACAAATGTTTGGTTGGGAGTCCCTAAGACCATCGGAAACATGTGTTTTCTGATGGTCGTGACCCATGGGTCATGACCCCAGTTGAGAACCACTGTCCTAGAGAATATAGCTGATATATAGGCTGAGCATCTGTCCTAGGCAATGCTAGTTTATCTCCAAGGCCTGGAACTCTTGTCAACCAGGAGGGCCTTAAGGACAGGGCCTAGAAGGGGCTAATAGCCTTGCTAGTGTCTTCTCAAATTATCAGGCCTCACATGCATCTCTGAATGCCCCTCCCTCCCACTGTCCCCCTTTTATACTTGCTAGGTCCAAAGCATTAGCATTGCTCTTGTCCCTGACCTCCTCCACTATGCCATCTGCCTTGGGGAAGATGCTGGTCCTCCTTGTGCCTCAGTTTCCCTTTTGTGGAGTCTGCTGGGCAAGAAAGTCTGAACACTGGATGATCTCTAAGTCTCACCCTCCTGCACTGTGTGCTTGATCGGAAGCCAGCTACCCTACACACACACACACACACACACACACACACACACAGAGGCCTGGTTCAGGCTGTGCTGGCCAGTTTGGACTGACTCTTGTCTCTCTCTGGCAGTGATGAGGACAACAAGCCCCTGCAGGGCAGCCAGACATCCCTGGATGGCACCATCAAGCAGCAGGAGAGTGACGACAGCCTAGTGGATTACGGTGAAGGTGGCGAGGGCCAGTTCAACGAAGATGGCTCCTTTATCGGCCAGTACACAGTCAAAAAGGACAAGGAGGAAACAGAGGGCAATGAGAGCTCAGAGGCCACATCACCTGTCAATGCCATCTATTCTCTGGCCTGATGGAGCGCCCCAGGCACAGCACTGCTTTGCAAGTAGGAGGGGAGAAGGGGAGATAAGGCAACTGCAGACCTACCACAAAGCCACAGCCACCTTCAGGGACAAGGGCACAACATGGGGGTCTGCCAAGCTGTGAGGACCGGAGGCAACCCAGCTATCCACAACCCCCTCCCAGTGATGCCCCAACTCCCTTGGGTGTCACTAGACGGGAAAGCTAAAGCTATGCTCATTGGAGGGAGCCCTAGTTTCCTGCCCCATGTCATGGCCACCCTGAGCGGTCCACCACAATGGCCACCCTTGATCTCGGCACACACTCATCCATTTCCATTGCTTACAATCTTCTCCGTCTTTTTTTTTTTTTTTTTTTTTTTGCTTTGTACATCTTCTCCTGCCAACCCATTGTCTCCATTTTCTTTCACTTTTGAAAAAAAATGCCCCTGGAAAAAGAATAAGTGGGCTCTCCCCCAGGAAACAAAAAGATGGGCAAAAAGGATTGATCCATAACACGACGTGCAGAAAAGCTGTAGTATTCAAGCTGCCACTGGGCCAGTGTGTTTCCGAAGGATGCCTTTTGCCATATGCCTCCCCCACCCCCACCCCCCACCCATCTGCCTCGGCCTTGTCCATGCTGAGCTGGGCTTGGCTCCTTTCTGGAAAATGACAGTGTTTTTATTTTTTTGGCAGGGAAAGGGTGGGCAGGACTCCTTGCCACGTTCTGGTTTGGTTGGGAGTGGGGTTTACCTCTTGCTCCTCGTTCTAACTCTGCCCCTGCTGCCAGAGAGTCTGAGAGTGAGCTGCACAGAAGATGAGAATGAAGAATGGGTACTGACGAGAAGGACTCTGGAGACTGAGCCCCATGCAGAAACAAGTGAGAATTGTTTCTGGGTAACGGAGCAACCCTCTGGAGGAAAGAGAAAGAGAGAGAGCTGGGATTGGACTTCTTTTGTCTCTGGCAGTGAAACCAGAGTGGAGGAGAGAGGGCCACAGCTGCCCACCAGTCAGGGTCTACGCTGCTACGCTCTGAGTGTTGGGTCCCTGTGATACAAGAGCATGACTGGTGTATCTGGGGGAAATGATACTGCTCCCCCTCCCATCCTCTCCTTGCTCAATTGTGTCTGACATTGACTTGTGTTTGACATGGTATATGAATGGGGACCTGCTGCCCCCAGACTGAGCCTATCTGTCCTTTCATTAGGGTACACGTACATATCAGGGGACCATGAGGTGCACCGTACTGGCAGTGCTGTGATGCCCCTGCCTGGAAGGACCCAAAGCTCTTCGTATGCCTTATGCAGCTCTCATCTAACCCCGCAGTTCGCAGATCCCTACCCCTACTCTGCAAGCCTCGATGCCTCCAGTGATGTATGTCCCGGGACCAGGGCAGCCTATGCAAGTGTCCCCTTGGGACCAGAAGCAGCCACTCCACACATGGCCCTTACTCACCCCCACTCCACCCACTCCCGCCACTGCCCTAACGGAGACACTTGCAGGCTTGCGGTTCTCAGCCTGAAGGTGCTGCCTTCATCCCTCACCTAATCCACTTCTGAAACCAAAGGTACCTTGCCTCAGCGACACAGAGATGAGAGATCTTGAGCCAGAGGGGCACCCTGTAGCTGTGTCTGCAGTCTGAGGCAGTTGTGGGAGGGCAAGGTCAACCGCTGCGAATGGATCGCCTGCCATTGGCATGGTCTCCAGCTTGAGCTACTAGTCAGGGGCCTAGGCAGGACCAGGGCTGTGCCCTTCAGAGACTTTCCAAAAGCATCATTTGCCATATGTTTAAGCCGCAGAGGTATTAACAATGCTTGCATCACTCGATAAGCATCCGGTTGAAGGTCAAGCCCATAGGCACACACTCTGTGCAGGTAAGAAACCATATCCCAGAGATGAACCAATAATGTTTGAACCCGAGAGCGCTGGCCCAACCCATGGCCGGCACTGCTGCCTGGAGGCCCAAGGGATGGCTCTCTGGTAAAAGGGGACAGGGTAAACAGCAGAAGGCCAGGGATGGGGGTGTGCTCAGGGTCCCCTTCCCTGGCTCTAGTCTAGCACTTCTTGAATGCAGCTGAGCATGACTGCAGCATAGGTCACCTTTCCAGGAGGGAAGGTTGAGGAAATGTGCCTGTTAGCTGAAGTGAATGATCACCCTTTCCAGAAAACTCTTTGGATCTGAGCAGAGTGGCCAGTTTCTCAGACCTCATTCATAGGTCACCATCAGCTAGTGAACTTACTGCACCAACAACAGGCTTTTAGAGGAAGGGATTCTTAGATGTCACCATAGCTATCTCCCTGCCACAGACAGCCTGGAGAAGGCTGCTTTGGTCTTCAGGGTCTGGGGGGAGACGTGAACCCTTAGGCTGTCTTTGTGCCTCATTCTAAGTTGTGTCACTCAGCACCATCCTCCTCTGTATATAGGGAAGGTTAGGAACCCTTCTCTCCAGCTGTTGTTTCGTGGGAACTGATAACTGCCCCAATCGCCACTGATCACAGCTCTCCCCGCAGGGACACATCTGGGCTGGAGAACCAGCACCTGGTCTGGCAGGTGCCCCCAGACCAGGCACAGCGGTGTGATGTTGCAAGGTGGAGGAGGCAGCTTCTTCTAGGGAGGGGAGAGGCCACTTTCCACACAGCCTGCCAGAGTGTAGCCCAACTCAGCAGGAGAGCAGTATTGCCCCTCCCTGCACCTGGATCTCAAGCAGCCGTCCCAAAGCAATGCTAGTATTTCATCTTTCTGGTGGGGACAGGAAAAGGGTGTGGGTCACCTTGCAGCGATTCTGGGTGTTTATCAAATGCTTCTTGAGTCTGGGCCAAGGCTTGAGCCCTAATACCATGTTAACGAGTGAGGTCAGATGTGGCCCCTGCCTGCACAGGGCTGATATTACTGGAAATGAGCAGATGAGTTACAGGGACACGGTGACCATTCAGTTGGAAGCATGGTGCCCTTGTTTGCTTAGAGGCTTCCAAGGGGGAACTTGGTCCATTGGGCCCAGCAGATTGGGCAGAACATGGCAGTCTAGATGGGCAGGGTTCATCAGCCAGTGCTGTGCTTCTGTAGGGTGTCTGCCTCCCCCATTTAGCCCCTCTTTGAATATTCCTGTGCAGAGGGAAATTAGATGTGCAGGTCTGGATCAGCTGCCCCCCACCCTGCCTAGGGTATGGTAAACAGGACTCATGGTCTCTGCTTGTGGACACTAGAGGGAAACCCAGACTGGCTCCTGCCCTTGACTATTTCCTCTGCCCCCAGAGGTCTGGCTAGGAATGATCACTGGGCCTAGAGTCAGCCAGTGACTCGGCTCACCTCACAAAGGGAATAAGAGGGCATGTTCCCGATTTCCCTGAACACAGTCAGCATTGAGAAGGGAATAGAAACATCCATGGGTATTTGTAGAGTTTCTGGACAACCTCCCCACCCACCACACACCTGTGCATACACACACGCACACAGCAGATCCGTGTCCTATTGCAGAGCAGCGCTTCCAGTAGGGAACAGTCTGGATCGTGACATCATCTTGCAGGATGTGAGTCCATATCTGGTTCACAGGAGATGAGTTACTAAGACCTGGGGGAGGGGGGCACTTTGGGAAGGGATGGAGGGGGAGGGGGGACTTTGAGAGGGAAGAGGTTCTCCGGAGTGGGCCTTATTTTGTGATTCCTGTGGACAGAGTGTAGAGAAGATATCTGAAGGAGAGACAAACAGACCTCCACGTTTCCTGCCTCCCTTTCCTTGGGAGCCTCTGGTTAAGCCAGGCTGTCCAAGAGCCTCCCCAGCATGAGGAGGAAAGCAAGGTTTTTTTTGTTTGTTTGGTTTTTTTTTTTTTTTTGCTATTTATGAGGCTGTTTCATTGTCCCTCTACAGAGGTGAAACATCCTGGTCCCTCCATGGTCTAGGACTGAGGCCAAGACTCACTTCTCAGTGGGAGGGTGGCCGGTCTCTCGGATGCCACCCCAGAGCCCATCCCTCACTTCTTTCATATTGTGGTGGGGTGTCCTCCAACCAAGTCCAACAAGCCTCCGTCCAGTGCAAGCCAGTGACCAGGATTAGGTCCACCCAGATAGGCCACGGGGCTCCCTTTTTACCGAAGCAGAAGTCCTCATGTGATTTCACCAGATAGCTTAGGAATTCTATGTAGGCTGTCCCCAAGTCAAAACAAGAAGTCTCGAGCCAGCCACAGAGACTGCGGAGTGTCAGGAGCTTCAGTGCCCTGGGGGACACAGGTGGGCTGGGCAGAGCTTCCGGTCAACTCCGTGGCCAAATGCCTTTTAATACTAATGTGCTGATAACAGCAGCTGCTGCCATGAGAAAGGAGATGGAGATGAAGCAGGTCCAAGGGTTTCCCCATGTGAAGGAACCTCGGAGCTGATCTAATTGAAATGACTCATTGTACAGACAGGGAAATGACGGTGCAGGGAGGAAAGCTGGTCAGTCAGGGTACTATTAGGACTTGAACTTGGGCCTTCTGACTCCGTGTCCAGCACTCCTTCACCCCACCACAGCTGCCTCAGCAGGTGTTGCTCCTCACCCCTCCACGTCTCTCTACCATCACATTCATGCCCCCAGACCCTCCAGGTGAACAACAAAAAGGCTTCTCCTGAGGCCGAGACCGGACAGTCTGTGATAGCCCATGGCTAACTGGGCCAGGGAGTTACAGACAGCCCAAGACCAGGGGTGGAATGATGAGCTCATAGGTGTTTGTTACTGTGGCCTCAGAATGGTGTCTCTTGCTTCATCACACACCAGGGCTCCAGCATGCTGTATTCCTCAGAAGTGAAGGCAGGGAGAGGGCGTCCGTCCATTCTGCCCTTGACCACAGAGTCTGCAGGTGCTGAGGGGTAGCGGGGCCCAGGCAAGTTTACCACCCTGGGATCTGCCAAGCTGGAGTTCAGCAGATGTAAAGACTTCCATGAAGCAATAAACACAAAAGTCTGGGAGTAGATATCCAGAATTTTGTGCACTCCTGTTTGTATTTTTTTTTCAAAATTGTTGCAGATCAGATGACCCTGATCTGCTTGCTCCTCTGAGTCTCAGATGTGATGTCCTCAGTCAGTGTTTCCCCTCTGCCCGGCTTCCCAGCTCTTTGCCAACTTCTTCTGAGCTAATTACCAGTCACCTGTCACATGCCGCTATCTGTCCTGGTTCCCCCACCACCACCTCAACCATGCTGGATCCTGGAGGCCCTCTTCCCCTGCCCGCAACCGCATACACATCTCTCCCTTCCAACATGGTTTTCCCTGTGTCTCCATCCGGCCCCACGTTCCTACGCACACGAGTTGGTCTAATCGTTTCCCCATTGGTTACACATTTAACTCTCCATGGCAGGCTCATGTCAATCCCTCTCACATCATGTTCCTCCCTTCTTGTGAGTTATTTGTCATTAACCAACTTTGTCAGCGACAGATGTGTATCTGAGGGTGTCATGCACGACCTTCAGCAGGGACTTCTGGGCCATGGAGGACTGTCTAATACATGGACTTATAAACTGACTGCATGAGCAATGAAAAGGCCAAATTATTCAGATTTTTTTTGGAATCACTGAAAAAAAAAACCTGATTTCTTTTGTATAGAGAACACTAAACGTATAATAAAAGTTGTTCAAAATGGGTGTTGGCCCTGTGATTTGTTTCTTTTGTTTGACCATTGCCAAAGACGATGCCAGAAGATTAATGCCAGAAGTGAATCTAAGGGTTAGGCATGGTGACACGTGCAAATAATCCCAGAACTCAAGAGGCTGAAGCAGGAAGCTCAAGGATTTGAGCTAGATATTAAGTTCAAGGTCAACCTGGTCTATATAGCAAGAGCCTTCGAACAACAGCAGCAACAAAGAGGGCCCAAAGGGTTTTCCATAGGCACCGGGCAGCATTGTCTGTTGTGGAATTCTGCCATTCGAACCCCCATCTAGAAGCTAGACTTTATTTAGAGAACTCAGTTGTGCAGCTGTGTGTTTTAAACATAGAGTGACTGAGTGGAATGTGTGTGGTCAAGGAGACACCTTCTGGTTAGGTACAGCCGTGTGCACACACCGCCTAGAAGGCATGGAAGCTGGGGTGAGGAGAGGAATTGGCAATGGCACCCTGTCCCCAATCCCTGCTCCTCCTGTACTCTGCGTGTGGGGAGACACTAGCATGTCCCCTTTTGTCCTTAGCCTGGTGTGAGCAGCTGGCAGAATGAAGAAAGAGAGATGATAGTTCATAGGTAGAAGTGGGAAACAAAGGCAAAAGGACCCCTACAAAATGTAGACCCAACTCCACTGAGCAAAGAATCAGCAAGGAACCCTCAGCCCCTGAGAGGCCTCACAGTGGACCACTGCCTTGAGGGGGCCACTGTTTCACTAGATTAAGTGGGACTCTTTTTTCTAGGTGGGCCTCCTCTTGAACTGTTAGGTAACTCACTGGCTTGTCACACAGTACCTCTGAACCTTCTTGTCACTCTCTGAAACTGATTCCTTACATCCGTTTGCTTCTGTCTCACCCTTGCTTCAAGCTGATAGGGTCCTGGGAGAAGGGCTCACAGCACAAACTATGACCCAAAACTCTGCTTGTAACTTCCCTCCCCTCCCCACCTCCACTTCTGACCTTGTACACTTAATTCCAGACCCCTGCCTCTTTCTAGGTTCCTCTGAATGCTTTTCTTGTTACACCTTCTAGACTAGTCCTCCTTGAAGGCAGCTGGAGTCATTGTTCTAGACTCCCAATCTCTCTCTCTCTCTCTCTCTCTCTCTCTCTCTCTCTCTCTCTCTCTCTCTCTCTCTCTCTCTCTCTCTCTCTCTCTCTCATTCATACACACACACACACACACACACACACACACACACACACAGGGTCTCACTATTGCTCAGGCAATCCTCCTGTCTCAGCTTCCAGGACAGTTGAGACTACCTTATGCTCTATTTTATCCAGCTTCACATATCTTCAGCCATCAGCTCAAGTGACAGCATCCCAACGGGTCTTCCCTGACAGCTCTGTGTTCAGGGGTCCAGATCCCCTCGCTGTTGCCTCCTTAGCATTTACTTTATGCATCATGGGGTTTGATGTGTGAGATTGTCTATTTCTTTGACTAAACTGTGACTACCCTGAGTGCAGGAGACTTTTTTGTTTCCCACCTCTGCTTCCAGACACCAGTGCCTGGCACTGGACTAAACGAGGGAGTTGGTTGACTGCGTGAGACTGCCATTCCTTTGAAAGAAGTAGCTGGGTAAATTCAAACATCTGTTTTCTTCTCTGCCAGTATTGGGTTGATGAATATTGAACAAGCATTGCCATTTCAGGATGGACCTCAAGGTGTGGGGGTCCACTGGCCAATGTGTAAAGTCATCCAAGGAGACAGAAATGAAGAGATGAAGGGCTCATCCTATTTGAAGAAAACCAACCTCCATCCCACGGAGGCCAGACAAAGCACCTGCCTCCCTTCAGAACCCTGGGGACCCCTGAATATGCCATCCTTCATCCCTGTCTCTGGAAGCCAGTGCCTCCCAGCCCATTAGAAATGCTAATCTCCAGCTTGGAGTTGGTTTAACAGACCCAGTAGGGAGGAGACAAGCCATCTTCGGATGTTTATTAAGAGCAAAGTCTGTACCAGCCATTTCCCAGCTGCCCCCAATAGTGCAATCAGGGAATTCATTCTGTCCCCACGGCTCAGCAGTATATTACATGCAGAAATGCAGGCACAGCCACTGCAAAACCCCCTCCCCCATACACACAACTTAACGCATCAGGGCCCATTTGTTTGATGTCAGTTCCTGCTGGAATAAGCACTAGGCAGTGGGCCTCACAGCAATTTGGAGCCACAGCTGCGGCCCAATAGCCCAGCCCCAACCCTTTTCTCCATCCCTACCCCATAATTTGCTACTGATTTGTCTAGACCCCAACATAGAGAAGCAGGGCACGATTGGCCCAGACTCAGTACACATGGAGCATGATTCCTGGATTGGGCTTATTAGGAATTCACCACGATGAACTCAAGCAGGCATCCTAACTGCAGAGAGCCAGCGGCAGCAGAGAATGGGCTGACTTCACTCTAAGATTCCCAGTATGGATTTAAAAGTTCCCAGGATGACTGAGAGCTAACAAATAGCAGCTCTCTCTCTCTCTCTCTCTCTCTCTCTCTCTCTCTCTCTCTCTCTCTCTCTCTCTCTCTCTCTCTCTCTCGTGTGTGTGTGTGTGTGTGTGTTGATGGTCATCCTGTTTAATAGAAGAGAGATTAGAGACTTCTAGGCAGTCTAAGAGGGAGCATTGAAATAGTTGAGACAGGCAGAGGAAAGATCAAAGCAATGCTGTCTACGAGTGGTTCCCAGCCCAAGGCATACCAGAATCTCTTGGGAACTGAGAGACACTAAAAATTCCCAAGTCTAGTGTATCAGAAGTTCTGGTATATGCTATAAAAACCTTCCCAGTGCAGGTGATACCAGCTGCTGCTTGAGGGAGATGGAAAAGTGAGAAACCACCACCTCTCATGCCCTCCGCACAGACAGCCATCCTACTCTATTCATGAATTTGCTTTGAGTAGGTAGAAGTTTTAGCACAATTGGTGAATTAGACATCCAGAAAAAAAGGAAGATTGAGAAGAGGGAGTCTGGGTTGGAGTCCTCAAGAGTGACCAGAAAATGTGGGAGAGCCTTTGACTTTCTGCAGCCATGAAACTTGCGAAGAACTAAGCCATTTATAATACTAATGGTGAAAAGGCAAGAGGGTACCAGATGGCCTTTGGGTGACAGTACAGTCACATTAAGAAAAAGAGAACCAATAATGCTGACAGCTACCACTGTGATGTGCACTTTATGTAAATGTCCCTATTCTTTTGCTTTCTCGCAGGGCTGGAGATCAAAATCGGGGCCTTTCCCATGAAGCAAGCACTCTAACACTAAACTATATCCTTAACCCTAAATGATCTCTTTTAACCTTCCCACAGCCCTTTGAGGCAGCAGCTATATCCTATTACACATAAGAAAACTGATTCCAAACAGCAGGATGGTGCATACCCAAGGTAAAGGACAATGCCAGAAGTAGGTGCCAGGCCAGGCTACTTACATACCCTGCTTGCACTACTACACTGGGGGTATGAATGGGCATCTGATGAATCCTCCTGAAACGTACAGTTCAAGGGCATTGTTCCAGGGCAGCCCCTGCAAACCTCTCAATATGCCGCAGCAATAGTCTACCCTTCTTCACCCTGCAGTGGCAAAGGTGCCCCAGAGAAGTCCTGGGCAGTAACCAACAAGAGCAGGGAAGCAATAGAGTCCTGTCCTTCTCTAAGCTCTCATGAACCCCAGTAAGAGCTGAGATCCTGCAGATAGATCGGGCTCTGACTGTGTGGCCACTGGTAAGTTACTTACCCTGTCTTTGGCTGACTTTTCTTATTCCTGAAACTGGGGCAGCCTTTGTAACTACAGCTGTTGTGAGAGTCAGGACAGTTAAGATGGGACTCCAAGAACAATGTGCAATTATACTTTTCCCTCTCTCCTGCTAAAATACAAGTCCTTCCTAGCATGAGCTCTGCCTTTAGAAGCCCCCCACCCCTTTTGGCATGCTCAAATCTAATCGTCCACAAGGAGAACTCTCTTGCTTCCTGCTTCCCTTGACTTCCTTGACTTTCAGCACAGACTCCAGGGTGCTACAGTAATTCATCTCTTCCATGCCTAGCCAGGCTGGAAATCCCTGGAGAGCACGGCCAGTGCCCCGTGCCTCCTATGCCTCTGTGCTTCCCAACCTATTCCTCACTAGGTACACGGGATGATCCATACAGTCATGTTGACTGATCTTTGAGACCAGTGGTCCCCAAAGCTACCAGGTGCTGTTGGTGTTTAAAGCTGTCAGCCATAACCATACTTACCGCCTGGGTGGTTTAGTCATTGTGGTTTGGGGAACGAGTATGAGGAAGGGTTTGGGCAGTAGCTGCCTTTCTAAAATTTAGCAATTCCAGTGGGGTGGGAACAGTGATGATTGCCGGGAGGTGAAGACTTGTCCCGCTGCCCCATTAATTAACTTTCCTGAAGTTCCCCAAGCACCTTGTCTCTCTCTCATCCAGTCCTTGGAACCCACACTCATTTATCTAAAAACACAATCATTTTCACATCTCCTTCCCACTCTTTCCGGTGCTGGTCTGGCTGTGTAGTTACTGAAGGGACACTATCGCACTAGCGTGTGTGGCTCTGGCAGGCCTTGCCTTCCTCCCCCGTCCCCCATGCCTTGCTAAAAACAGTTAGATTGCATTCTTAAAGCTAGCCCCCAAGACCTACTCCCTTATTGAGCCGATTTCTCCTCCCGAGACTGACTACCAAGGCTCAGCTATCAAAGTACTGAAGTCCAGCAATCAGAAGCCCCTTTGGCTCCCCTGGTTAACATGCCCAATTTAAATTAAACTCCCCACCTTAACACAGGGTTCCCACTTTTATCTTTATAAACAGCCATTTGCCTGTGGGCCATGTCTGTATCCTCTCTATCCAGAGGCAGTTCTTTGTCCCTCTGGGGCAAACATCCCTTACCCCTCTCCCTTGCTCCTTTTCTCCCTTCTCTCTTGTCCCCTCCCCCTTCTACCTCTTCCTCTATCTCCTGTCTTTGTCCGTTATCCATACCCTTTGTCCCTCTGGAGCAAATAAATCTCCTTTGT